TTGAGTTGTGGAGAAAAAAAGCACCAATAATAAGTTATAAAACATTAACTAATTAGAAATTACTAATTAATTAACTAATTAGAAATAACTACTGCTGTTAGTTTGGAATATGTCTTTTAGTTTTTGTGTGTGTGCAAGTTGACCATGTCAAAATTGGATTATGTTACATACACTGAGAGTTGTCTTTTATATGTTCCTTAGTGTGCAGAGTAAAACTCGTAAATGCTGCTTTCATACAATCTGTTATATTTTCAGTTCTGTTTTGGCCATGGACCTTCAGTCTGTTTATATCAGTATTATACCAAGATAACTTTGAACAAAGAAAATTTAGATGGAAAACACCCAGTGATTAAAACAAAATCATTAGTGTCTTTATTCAAAGCTGCAATTTTAATATTCTATGCCTTGATGCTGATTTTTAAATTATGTCTCTCATTCCGCTTTATTTCATCTAGCCTGCAGATGGCAGAATTGTTTTATTTGAACAGCAATTTTAAACGTTTATTTAAAGAGTTCTTGCAGCAAAATGAGAGGTAATTAAATGAATATGCTTCCTATTAGAGGATAAGTAAATTAATGTTAGGAACAGGGAGCCACGCTGAGAACGTAATGGATAATTTACTTCTTCATTTTGTCTACCTTCATTTCACAGTTTTTATGTGCTTGGATTTTAGTTCTCTAAATGGACTAGCGAGAATGACACTTAAGCTGTACCATATGTAAACTGCTGAATTTCCTTAATTAATTTAGTCAGAGTAATGGAGCTTAGGTCTGCTTCATATTGTAGCCATAGAACAATTTATCCTGCATTTGTATTTTTAGAGTGCATACATTAACTTCTTTTTTTAACATAGAGACCTTTTAGAATTCATTTATATGTCATCAATTTAAATTATTAATATTGTCCTTAGAAGAGAAGAAATATTCTAGGGAACAAGAAATTAGAATTAGATTACTATGCCGTATTTGAAATTATTGTCAGAATTATGCTGATGAAAAACTGGAAGAGCATATTCAAAGTAATAAGAAGTTGCTTAGAGAAAGTACTGTAAAATTCAGTGATTGATTACTGATATGGCAGATGATGTTGCACAGTTAAGCAATTGTGATTTGTGTCATTCTATTGAGACAAAAAATTAAGAGATTATAATAGTTCTAATGATTTGTGAGATTTTTAGGTTTTAAAATTAGTGTGCTTAAATATGAACTGTTAGAAATATGTATCACGTTAGTTTCATTAGTATTTTTAATGTTTTATAACTGCTATGGTAGACCAGACTTTACTAGTAAATTAAGTATAATTTGTTAGCATTTTAAACAGGAACTGAACACTACATTACTGCAGAAGAATTTAAATTCTTAACTAAATCGTGCATAGTTTTGAGTATAATTGAAGTATTCTGTTTCAGTTGAGCAAAAATCACATTTCCTTTGTCGTCCTAGTTCTCTTCTTACCTGTAGTTGGAGTAATATTAGTAGGAAAGACTACACATTTGATTTGAAAAGATAATGGTGGAATTTACTGCTTATTAGAATGAAGAGGGAAGCTGTAATTTATTTCTAATAAAAGTATGCTAGTGTGGATTAAAATTCTATTCCAGGGATTCTAGGAAGGCCAATCCTATCTTAAGAATTGATAGCAGCCATAAAAGACAGATATTGATTATGTGCAGTGCTGTTACTTAAAGAAACACTGAAACATTGTGTGTGTATATATATATATATATATATATATATATATATATATGCACAATGCTCTAATCCAAAGAGAATATACTAGAATGAAATATGTACTGTTCTTAATAAGTTAATACGTATGTTTTGAAATTGTTTTCCTAGCATGAAGGGCTAAAGATAGATTGGTTAGAGTAAGTGGAGAATATATTGCCCATTTTAGCCTCTGTATTAAGCTAGAATAAGCGATAGTATGAGTAATGGAGATGTCAAAAATATCTTTCTTTGGTTTTTGTCACCTTCGTTTCAGAGTAAAGATAGTGATCTATTACACAGATTTTTATACTTTATTATCGTTATTCTGAGAAGCTATTTCAGTTCACCCATGAAAGGTGACTATATGAGGAATGATTGTGTTTTTATCTTTTTAAGATGGGAAAATTTTCAAGGTTCTTGATGTTATGATTTGAAAAATAATGATTAATAGATGCAGAGTTTCATACGTTTAATGTAGGGACTGATGGAAATGTGAAGGTCTCTTAAATGAAAGATTATAATGTGAGACAAAATGATAAAATAAACATGAATTGTATCATAGCAACTGAACTAAAGTAAAAATATTGAAGAGAGACATGACTTAGTATTTGTCCTACACTGGAATCTCAATATACTGTAGAGTCATAGTTGGTTCATTTATTTTGCTTTTTGGAAGTAGAATTCTACTTGATAAATAAATTTTATGTATATATGATTATGAAATATTCTGTCTCATAATGCCAGACTTGAACTTTCTGACAGAAGCAATGTATTGAAACTTTTTTAAGTTCTACTTCCCAAAAAGAGGCTGGCTTCTTCCCATGATACTTTCTAAAACATAGGAATCTTTTGCCTTTAAGGAAATAAAAGAAAAAGAAGCCACTCATCACTGAATTTTAAAAAGTGTGGAGAGTTGAATTGGCTGTACTTTTTTGGTGGGGAGACTGAACTATATCCTTCTTGTTCTTTTGCATTCTTTGAAAATAGGTCTTTCCAAGTCACTAAGTTTCCTAGCCCAGTAATAGATATGCATCATAGTCTAGGTGATTTTATTATTTCAAAATATTTACTGTATTATATGAACCTTTGAGCACATTTTAATACTTACTAAAATTGCAAGTATAGGATTATTATGGTTTGAATTTGGAGTTGCATCACTGACGTTGCAATTTGTGTGTATATGTCTGTTTTCCTTTAGACCATTTCCTTAATTCTAGTTCATTCAAGAATTTGGTCTTCCAGTACTGACACGGATGCATTGAGGTTATATGTAGCAGTTTGTGTTATTTTGTACCTGTTTAGTGTCTTACTTGATGTGCCTGTTGTGGCCCCCAAAAACTTATTTTACTAAGAAAAAATGCAAACATTTTAAAAGCTATAATCTAGTTATAATATGCCTTTCAACTAGAAGTAGCTTAACAATTAAATAAAATTGTTGCAGTGATAATTGAGAGTTATAGGGGACAGAAATTGGATGGCCTGTATACTCTTTTCTAAAGTAGTGATATATTTTAATAGTAAAGTAGGAGGTGGGAGAACCACTAGCTATTTTTCTTTCATGTTTCTAACATTTAATGTGCTTGAAGATTATCTGTTCTCTTCTATATTTCTATTATTCATTACCAGTCGTAAAAATGGTTTCTTTCAGTATGTCCAAGATAGAAAGAGGTTTTGTTAGGATATTTTATTAGACATATTAAAAATGCATACATGGAGTCAGCGTGTCTGGTTTGCTGTGTTTGAGTTTTTAGGAGAATAGGTTGCAAATAACCTGTGATTAATGGATGTCCCATATTGCAAGGAACACTTGAGTCAGACAGATGGAGATGAAATGGATGGCTGGATGGGTGGTGTCTCAGTGCTGGTTAAGTTGAATAAAAAACAGAACGTAACTATAGGTGGACTCCCCAGTACAACATCCTATTTGGGCTGTGGGCTTTCTGTTTCAGGGGAACTTTGTCTATGTAAAGCAAGCACACACAAGTGAATTGGTGTCTCACATCCAGTACCCCTGGCCGAAGAAATAGAGAAAGGTGGTCTGTATGTGGATCTACCTTTGAAAGACAAGTTCATGGATGCCCAGTTCATAGAAGCTGAGAGAAAGATGCAGGGAAGTTCTTAGAAATTGAGGACAGAGCTGAAGCAGGTACATATACTTTTTTCTCCAGGCCCTTAGAAAGGAGTGAAGGAGAAGTGGAGAGTGGGAAGAGCTTTCTTCTGAGTGCATGTACGATATTCGAAAGGAGTAGAAGCACCTTTGACATGAAGCTGTAAAATAGTCCCATTTGAAATTACGATAAAATTGGTTCCGTTTCCCCCAGGAAATCTTCAGCCTCATTTAATATTCATGTGAAATTCCCATACTCTTCTCTTTAGAATGTTAACAAACAAAAAACCAACAGCATTCTGTCTTTTTCCACATTTTAAATTTGTTAGCTATCCTGCAGTGTATTGCTGGTTTGGGTCTTGAAAGTTGAATAAATTGAGACAATAAGTCCTGAAAAAACCTCAGGAAATGGAATTTGTTGCCATGGTATTTTATGTGTAAACTTTATGTAAATTGAGATCTAAAAGTTGTGAGCTATTTGAATTGGTCCAGATGTGGGTGACAATTGGACAGATACGTGCTGTCTCCTTTTGGGCTGGGGAAAGAGTAGTAATGTTTCACTGAGAAATCTCAAGTTTGAGGTGAGATCTCCCTTTTTGGATCTCCAGTTGAATTACGGTAGGGAACAAAATCTGGTATCATTTAAACCTCTTATGTCCCCTTAACAAAGCTAACTTTTCTTTTCATACTATGTCATAGGAACCTTTGACTATTACATAGTATAGTTTTACAAGAAAATAAAAAACAGTTTCTTAAAGTCTGAACATAATTATTCTGCTATAGGTCATGAGAGCCTGTTCTGTTCTCCTTTGTTTCTTATTTATCTTTTCTTTCTGTCCTTTTATCTAAATTTTTTTGCAGAGACAAAGGAAAGGAGGAGATAAAATCTGAATCAAGTTTCTTCTATTTCTTTCTTTTCCTTCTCTTCCTCCTTCTCCTCCTCCTCCTCTTCTTCTTCTTCTTTTTGTTTTAACTTGTAACACTAAGCTTCAAACTATACACAGGAGACTGGGGAACCTTAAAAAAGAAACTGAAAATATTCTAAAAAAGGATTTTGTTAAAAACAAAGTAGAGGTTTTTACTTTTCTGTAGCATTTATTGGCTACTTAGTTGTACTAATGTTCATGCTTGAGGTACTCTGTGTCTGTGTATGTGGCTAATCTTTTCTGTTTTTCAATTTCAGTTGATCCTATTAAAATACTAATGCCGTCATTGTCTCCTACGATGGAAGAAGGAAACATTGTGAAGTGGCTGAAAAAGGAAGGTGAGCAAGTGCATTACTAATGTTTTCTGTGCTTTGTTATTGAATCACTTTTCTAATGTGTTATATTACAAAATGCATGATATGAATGAAATAAATTGTTACTTTGATAGTTAATGTAAATTTGCTTAAATAAAAATTTCCTATGTTCATAGAACAAAGTTTTCTGGGTTAGCCCTGTATCTCTTCACAAGCACAAGTAAAATATTTGAAGAGTTTTTCCTTCCAAATTTTAGTCCTTATTCCTAGCTTTTCCTTTCAACATCATAAATTTGTTAATCTCTTAGTTCATAACTCCCATGATTGCACAGGCACACGTATCCATATGTGTTTTCCCAAAGCTAAGCAAATCGATTATAAATTTCATTGGAAAGAACAAATGAGTAAGGATGATGAGAAATGCTTCCAAAAGGACAGTAGAGACTGGTAGTCTGCTAGTTACCGAAACATATTTTTAAGGCTCTGAAATTGAAAGCAAGATTGGTGCTTAAAAAGACAGACTAATGGAACTGCATACAAATGAGAAGTAGATGGCACTTGGATTTTTAGTGTAAAATGAAGGAAGACAATACTAGATGTATTGTTTCTGTAATGCCGAGGATAAATTACACATGAGTTAGATACTTAACGGTACAGAAACAAAACTATATACTATAAATACTAGAAAATTGATAATTCTGTTAAACTTGGAAGTAGAATAATCATGCTGTAACTCAAAATGTATATACAGTAAAGGGAAGACTGATTAAGTTTGGCAATGAAAATAATAACTTTTCTGTAGCTGAAAACCTGATAAATCAATGAAAAAAGTGACAAATTAAAAGAGTATTTGTAAGAATAAGACTATCAATTCAGTAGAAAAATTGAGAGGAAATTTCAGCAAGTAGTTTACACAAAAATTCCAAATGGCTCTCATACACAAAAAAGGATGTTTAACTTTTATACTGATAAGACTAGAACTATGCAAACAAGTACCACACTGAGATATCGTTTCTGATCGTATTGACAGAAATTAAAGGTTAACAAACTCTTCTGCTGTGGTTGTCGAGAGAGAAAAAGGAAGCAGGCATTCTGAAACACTGCTAGAAGAAATGCAAAAATAGTGTAAACTTTAGGGAAAAGAATGGTAATATCTAGAAAAAATTATTTGTATTCACCCTTTGGCTCAGTAACTCTTACTTTCAGGAATCTGTTTCACTTAGTGCTGTACCAAAGGGAGTACTTCAAATGTTCATTTATTTAACTATGTATCTGTAACAGGTTATAACTGAAGGACAAAGTAGGTCCAACAACAAAAATTAATAGTAAGCCTAAGCTACTGGAGTAATCATATAATGGAGGTTATGTTGGTATTGTTAAGCTGTCTTTTCTTGGTGTGTTGTGAGGTAAAACAAATGAGTGAAGATATCATTGAGAACCTGGATTTGAAGGAGAGACAGATAAAAGATAGCTAAGGTTAAAGAAAGCCTCTTTTGTGGTAGGGTTTTTTTTTTTTTTTTTTCCCTTAGTCTCCTGGCAGTGTCTGGAAACAAGCACTAATCCAATTAGCAGTGAAAAACCCAGTACCCATACTGTAGTCTCAGAATACCGCTTCCCACCAAAGTGAATGAAGGCTTCTGAAAGAATGGCTACTTCCAGGTCATGGGCATTAAATATACATATGAACCTGGAATACTTTGTCAGTTCAGAGAAACAGGAACGTATCAGAAACTTCCAGGGCCGGCGATTTAGCTCAGCGGCATAAGCCTGCCAAGTGTGAAGTCGTGAGTTCAATCCCCAGTACCAAAACAAAACAGAAAGAAACTTCCAAAGATATTGTATAGGACTCAGGAGCTAAAGATAGAACTGTTTAAGGACCAGTAAGGATAATAACTAGTCTTTGAAATACACATCGTGTATTTGAGCCTTAAGTTCACAGTAATACTAAAGAAAACCAGACTAATAGTAATTGATAGCTTTGGAGGCTGCTAAGAAATAAACTCATTTTCTAAACTGATAATAAATGGAAAGACTCAAGCAAAGTTTGTTTTCCCTATCTTTCCTATGTGGACTGTAGCTCAGGGGAATCAAGTAATTCATGGGAAGAAGTGGTTCATTATTGGCATATCCCCATTGTTAAAATACTGAAGAATTATCAAATGCCACTATGTCACCAATTTGTAATCTCTAATGAAACAGATTGCATTAGAGATTATATGCAGTAGGCAACCAGATTATCAAATGCTTCCTGTTATTAATATACCTCACTACTATAAAGTAGTTTTGCCAGAAAATTGAACTGAATATGCTCGGCCTGTAGCACTAATTATCATTTTCCAGGAAATGTAGGGGAAAGTAGAACATGTTCAGAGGCACCATGAAGAGTTTATCAGCAAGACCCTGACTGTGATGACTTCTTCAATGAGTAAATTTTAAGGGAAGGGCATCAGGGAAGGCAAATGTATAGCATAAAATATTTAAGAGAATAGTGTTAAAGCATAGATCTTATTTTGATTATGAGGACATGGGGACATTTGAAAACTGATTGGATATTTAATGATAAAGAGTAATTTTAGGAGGTTAATAATATAATTATATTTATTTTAGATAATCTTACCAATGAGAGACAGAAGCTGAAATAGTAATATGTATAAAGTGATAATATATCTACAGTTAGTTTTAAAATAAGCCTACTGAAGGATGAGAGGATTGGGAGGGATATAGCTGAAACAAGACAATCACAGATCAGTTAGTTGACAGTTAAAGTCAGGTAAAAGATACATGGATGCATGTGGCTTCATTACCTTTCCTCACTACTTTGTGTGTATTTTAAAATTTTGTAATACAATTTTTATAATTGTATATACTGCCCTTGGAATACAGTACATACCACTCTTTACTCAACTTTTTTTCCTTCCCTGCTGCCAAGGATTGAGTCCAATACCTCCCCACTGAGCAGCACTCCCTGTCCTTTTTACTTTGAGACAGGATCTTATTGTCAGTAGGTTGTCTAAGCTGTCTAATGTGGGATCCTCCTGCTCAGCCTCTCAGAGTGCCAGAATTACAGGCATCTGCTATATACCATGCCTGACTTTTTCTTAGCGTTTTGTAAGTATAGAACTATTTGGGTGTTGATGTTACCAACACATTCATGACAGGGTCGTAATATGTCTTTCAGCTGGTCAGATTAAACCATTAGTGATACGTGTGTGACTATCCCATCGAGTGTATTTTTAAATTAATTTTATTAGTAAAAAGAATCGTAAAAGTGACGACATCTGTTTGTACTGCAGAGATCCATGTGTGGCACAAGTTGCTCAAAAGGACAGTCATGCAATTGAGGTGGTATTTGAGTTGCTCCTTGTAGAATAAATGGGCCTTCAAAAGAATGAGAAAGTAGAGCATTCCAGTGTTGTAAACAGTAGGAACACAATGTCTGAAGAAGAATGTCATGAGACATATTTTGGCAACTACAGGTAGTTCCAGCTGCACTGAGAGCATAGTGCATAAGAAGGATCTTGAATACCAATGTTGAGCTTTTCAGTCTGTGAGGATCTTATCCTTGAGCCAAGATCCAGCCACACTCCTGTGATTTATAGGAAGTATCTTACTCATGCTTTCTCAACCCTGTTAGTAGCGCTGCATTGAATGGAAACAGGCGCCGAGAGTACTCTAGTAACAAGATCTAACTATCAAGCTTAAGTTCCTTTCCCTGATTGCATTTGAAAAACCAAAATTGTGGACTTCTTATCATTAAGATCATCAACAGCAGATGGGTAAGGCTTGCTGTCATTACTCTTATGGAAGAAATCCTTTGAATTAAGTTGCACTTAAACATAGGACAGGAAAATCACTAAGTGTCTGCGGCTTCAGGGTTCATAAATGGGAACTGAAGCTTGCGTGCACACTGGGCCCGGGCAGGATGACGAACTGCTGAGATGGGGGCCAGAGGTTTAGTTAGAGGGGATGGGAGGGTAGAGGTGGAGAAAGGGAAATGAAGAATTAGGTTCAGCTTTGGCTGTGGTGACATTTGAGATGGGTTACACAGACATTCAAGAGAAGATGTCCAGTTGGTTGTAGGAGTTGAAGTTCAGGAGCAAAGTCTGCCTTGTAGATAAGAAAGTTGAGAGTCATATGCATGAAATACAGTCCACATAATAACAAACACATTTTTAAAATTTTGGATGTATGTGAAGTAATAATACCTATTCCGTTATCGTTTTCTCTCATGCGCTTTTCCTCATCAGGCTTTGGGGTTCTATTTTATAGTGTTTGCATTTTCGGAGACTCTACAGATAGAAGTAAAATGGACCTGAATTCATATTCCCCCCCAGGTTACCTGGCAGAAATCATTCTTTTGGAGGGGCAAAGCTCCTAATCCAAGCCAGGCAGGAGCTCAAATAATGTCCCACTTAAGCAAGAGTCACAGTTCTCAAAGTAATTCAATAATGCACCAAGAGCCCGGGATTTAGCTCAGTGGCACAGGTACCTGCCTGACAAGCACAAGGTTGTAAGTTTGATCCCCGATACCCCAAATAACGATGACAACAATAATAATAATGATGATGCATCAGGAAACAGTCTTTTAGGAGCAAATGTCAGTAAGCATGACAAGCAGTGGAACTAGACCTATAACTGCCACTGGGGAGTTACTAGATACATGAAAATGTCATGAGGAAGGCAGACACTACAGAATGTCTAGGCACATTTGAAAAAGAACAAATGGAACTTCTACTAATGAAAAATATCATCTCTAAAAGAAAACACTTAAGGGTGAGTGAAAGCATGATTAGACATGACTGAAAAAGAATTTGTGAACTGAAGAACACCATGAAGGAATTAGCTTGCAGCCATCCCAAGGGGAGAAAGCAGTGGATAATGTGAAAGGGAAGTTGAGACAGGAAGGAGAAACAAGATTCATCTGGTAACCCAAAATGAAGAGGGGACGAAGAAGAGGTAACATTCGAAGAAAAAGTGCCAGTTTTCTAGAATTTAGTCACATAAATGATTCAGTACTTCATTAGGCAATGCTTTGAACAATTGGCTAGGCTTCTATAAAATAGCAATAAAATAATTATTAGCATCTAAGAGAGTTTTGCTTTTAAAAAATATAATCAATTTCAATCTATTTTTAGGTTTCTTTTTTTTTTTTTTTTTGTCTTTTTCCTTTTTATCGGTACCAGGGATCGAACTCACGACTGCCTGCTTCCAAGGCAGGCGCTTATGCCGCTGAGCTAAATCTCCAGTTCCCTATTTTTAGGTTTCTTTAATGAATGATAGAGCTTGGCTGTTTCTGTGTAAGGAGGACAGGGTTTTGGTATCAGTAAATAATGAGGAAGACCCAGAACAATATGGGTAGGAATATCCTTGGATCACATTTATCTCTCAGGCTTCTAGCTCTGGCAGTCTGAATAAGTTACTGACATCCATTTGAATATGGACAGTATGATCAAGAGCCGGACGACATTTGGTCTCATCACTGTGGTCTTTTTTCCTGTTAATGCTAATGCGCTATTTTCATGTGGGACAGGCAGTATTTTAAGCTTCTGGAGCATATTTCTCTGAAGGTTTTTTCTTAAATTTTTGTATTCTGCCAACTGAAGGGAAAATTTTGTTTACCAAAGCACTAAGTGAGAACAGTCTTAATCCTTGTTTTTATTCTTTTACAGCTGATCACTTTTGTGATTTAGTTATATTCTTTCACATATAATTTGTTTTTTATTAACATTTATGTACTGTACACATTGGTAATAATTGGCTATGTCTAAATATGCCTGACATTTCTGATAATTTATTCATTTTGTATTGAAAACAAATTTATAGTTTGATGGAGAGTATTTTTAAATAACATTTTTCTTACTACCTATTTTTTTTAAATCTTGCAATCTTTGTTAATGTATGGTCACTATTTAAAGCGATTAGGAGATTGAAATTTATCATAAAAAAGAATAGTGCATCTAATTATGAATCTTTTTAAGTAAAGGTTAAACAATGATTAAATTACATGGATATGAATTCAGTCTTAAAACTAAGAGCTGCTTTTATTAATGCATATGTGCATGCATATATAACACAATTTGATTCTTTTCAAATTGTCATTACAGGAACTCAGGGGTAAGAACAAAAGCATGTCAGTTGAGTTATGGAGAGAAAGTTATGGCAAAAGTAGAATTTGTAAATAATTCTTATCTTGACATGTGTATTTTAAGATAAGAGGGTAACAGTACAGTGAGAAGAACTCTGCCCCGGAAATCAAGTTTGTCTTTGTGTTTTTTTCTGCTCTGTCATGAGAACTACTTGAGAGTAAGTTGATGTAGATGAAATTTAAGGCTTATCTCTAGCTTGAGAATTGCTTCATAATTCATTTTCGTTTGCTTTTTTAAGTTATAGGCACAATAGTATAGCATATAAATTATTTCCACCTTGGTTGAACAAATGAGTCTCAGAACAGTAGTTGTGTAAGTATTGATATACTTAATTTAACATGGAAAATTGAATAAAAATATGCATTATAGAATTAGTAAAGAAGACACTTTGAAAATGTTAAATAATAGATACAATTTCAAAATGTCTTGAAGGGCAATTTGACATCTTTATTACAGGTTATTACATACAAAAAGTATTGCTAATATTTATTGCAGGTTATTACAAGTTCTTCAGATATTTTCTATTTAAAATGAGCATGGTTTACTTTTTCATCATTGAAAAAATCAAATCTGTTAAAGTAACAAAAAGAAAAAAGTTCTGTACATGAGAAGTATTCCTTTCTTTCTTCAGTTATTTAAGATTTTTTTGACACGAAGCACAGTGGAACAATCCCTGGCTGGAACAGTTCTGTGAAACACTTAGGCATGGGGTCTGGAACTGCCATCACTAGGTCTGCTAGGTACATAGTGAGTCCCTGCGGTACTTGGTATGATTTCTTAGGTACTGCTGTTCTTCTTGTTTCTTAAGATGACTGGGAATTTTGAACATTTCACATAAGGTTTTTTTTTTTAATAAGCTTGAGACTGTCTAAGGATGTGTAATGTTGTATAAAATTCAAAAATAAAATTGAAGGATGCTTTCTCCTGTGTTGCTGGGAGGCAGCAGAGAGTTACCTGAGGATTTGGATGCTGTTGTAGAAGAGGCTTTTTGGTTTCTGTTGTTTCTGGGAATATATGTTTGTGACGCTAAAGTGGAAAATTTTTGTCAAATATATTGTATAAACAACGTCAGTGTTTTTTCAGTGTGCTATTTCAGTTATTAGTTGAGCATCTTTATTTGAAGTATAACATTTCAGGGGTTACTGGGGATCAAACTCACGACCTCATGCTTTTGCTGCTGAGCTAAATCCCCAGCTAAAGTATAACATATACCATAACGTTAATTTATTTTAAATACACAGTCCAGTAATGTTTACTTAACTGTAGTGATTATGCAGTCATTAACACATCGTTTTAGAACATTTCAGTCATCCCCCAAAGAGCTCTACTGCCTGATCTTTTTTATTTCCCACTCCCATCCATAGCCCTGAACAACTTACATTTGCATTTTATCTAAAATTCTCTTTTCTGGATACATTACATAAATAAAATAATATAAAATTAGGACGTGACTGGCTTTCATTTGGCATGGTTGGGATTCATCTGTGTTGTGTATACCAGCAGGTCATTTGTTTTATTGTTGTTATCATTATACTTTTTGATTGCTATTGTTAATATTTTGTGTTAGAACAGAATGCTAAAACTGGCTTATGGAATTACAGATTACTGTACTATTCCATAGAACTTTCTGTGGCAAACATTTGCAGTAGCACTAGGTAGGTGGAATAAGAGGCTGGAGGGATGGAGGGGAGGCAACAGGTTGCCTTGGGTCTCAGGCCGTGCAGACATCGTGTGAGTAAGCTGTAAGGGATGGCAGACACTGACCAGGGAATCTGCATAATTGAGTGGGATTGGTATTGCCAGCTTGTATGTTTATCCCATCTGATTAGGACCCTCTTGAAGCAGGTCTATCCTGTGTATGATTTTGGCACTAGTGTCTGTCTTACATACAGTGTCATTCACAGGGAGGCAGAGGTAAATGGTGAGCAAACCATTGAATTTTATCTCTAATTGTGGATGTCTTGGTGATTCAACATAGCCGTAAGTTTTTCTCTTTACTTTTATGTAGATCTGCTCTACTTGGCCTTACACACTCAATAACCAGCCCTCCTTTGTGACTACCACCATACATATCTTTGAAATAAAGATTACTCTTAACTTTTGGTCAAACACAAATATTTTGTGGAAGCCACAGGATGTTTAGTTAATAAAATAAGCATCACTATAAACCCTGTTTGACCGAGACTGTACTTCATGCCTCAACTTTACAAACAGAGGGGAGCCTCTGTACTCTTCTATCCTCAGCTCTGGCAGCTGCTCATCTGGACAAAGGAACAGAACATGATGCTGGCACCGGTGCTGGGGAGCGGCCCCCCGGGCGGGCCTCTGCTCTGGCCCCTCCTGGGGCCCGCACTCTCGTTCCGGGCCCGCCCCACCTCTGCCCTTGACATGGACCACGAAGAGATGGTGCAGGAATGCTCCAGGGCTGCCCTGTTCTTCTGCAGCCAGTCATCCATCAACGGGACAGCTGAGAAGTTGTATGTCCCTCAAGCCGTGCATCTGCCTATATCCTAGCTCTCAGTCTTTTTCATCAGACTGTAAACTCTTAGTGGACAGAGCCATTGTTTATCATTGCTTTTGTATGCAGGGCTTACTGCAATGCTTTATACATTAGTACTTGTTGAATGATCTGTTTGAAATCAGAGATCTTGGATAGGAAGTTAGAATGTATCTTGATTATTAATGGTTGTTTAACCGGAAGATACAAAATGTTATCTCAAAGTGGATGCAAAGTGTTATCCTAATACTTTTAGATCCATAGTACTTTATTGTACAGCTGTACATTCAGAATCTTCTTGAAAGTCAGCGAAATTAATATTAACTTACTTAGCCAGGGTCACTAGTAAGTGTCTTGGTACTGGAATGAAACTGATGTCGCAGTTGGGAGAGGTTCCTTGTACTTACTCTGCTAAGCAACCCTTTCTTCCATGTGGTCTTTGCCAGCTGCTCGGAGTATCCTTTCTCTTTGCTTCCAGAGCTCTGTATATGCTGCCTTCTGCGTGGAGCACTCCCTTTTATGTATCTTCTCATCTTTTTAGGCTCAGATGAGAGATCGTTTAATTCTAGGAAGCCTTCCAGAGCATATTTATTAACTTAAGTGTTTAGATTTTCCTTTATGCTCACTTACTATGTTCATCTGTTAATATTGCTATTCCATCTGTTTTAGGGGGCTGTTTGAGGGCATATATTGGGTGTGCCTCATATGTTTCTATTCATTTGTACTTCAGTTTGTAAGGTAAAATTACTAATATTTCTGTATTCATTCTGATAATCACTGCTTTTAATAGGTGATTTTAATCCACTTACATGTATTGTGATTACTCATATATTTGACTTTATTTCTGTTGTTTTATTTATTTCTATGGTTCATTTTTATTCGTATTCTGGTTTGTGTATGTACCTGCTTTCTGTTATATGACTTTTTATTTTTCCTGTGCTATAGGTTGTATTTCTTTTCTTTCTTTTTTGGATTTCTATTTTTAAATTCAAAATTTTGTCAGTAAGATCTAGAATTATTCAGTATTTTTTCCTCCTATCTCAAAGTCATTAACATGGTTAATTATCACATAAATATTCTCTTACCTATATTACTTTTTTTTAAGAGTTTAAGTTGCACTTTTTAAAACCTTCATACATTACTATTTCAATAGTTAATGTTTCACACTTCAACAACTTCCTCGGTAATTTGTTTCCTGTATCCCAAGGATTTTCTGTGTGTCTACTCTTCTTGCTCAACTGCATCCTGTAAGAAAGAGCTCACTTAAGTGATCCTCGACAGTGGTAAATTTTCTTAGCCTTTATATGTCCAAGCAATTATTTTCATTCTTTTATATGACTGAATATAAAATTCTAGACTTACTTGTCTCAACTTTTTGAAGGTATTATTTCATTGTCTCCCGACCTCTGTTGGAGCTGCTGAGAAGTGTGCTCTCAGTCTATCATTCCATTGAGGTAATCTGTTTTTCTTCCTCTGATAACTTAAAATTGTGTTTTTATTGTTGGTAATATATGGTTTATCTACAGTGCATCTAATGTGAATCCTTGTTTGTGCAGTCTAATGCTGTTTTTGTCAAGTTATAACTAGCATAAGATATGAGCTACCTTATACACACACACACACACACACACACACACGCACACACACACACGTATCCCTGTTACCACCACCTCGATCGAGATCTGGAGAACACCTAACATGCCGCAAGGCTCTTTTGTAGCCCTTCCTGATCAATATAGCCATTCAAAAACATTTTCATTATAAACATAAGTATCTGTAGTTCTGAGGGATTCTCAGCAGTGCTTTCTTCATGTATTGATTTTCTACCAGTTCCTCCTTGCTCTCTTTTCCCCTGGAACTCTGTTAGGCAAGCATTGTGGCCTCAGTTTTTGTCCTTTAGCTGCTGTTTTCTTTTCTTAAAGATTTTTAAAAATTTTTATCTGTTTCTTTTAAGTTCTGGATAGTTCCTTGGTGCTGACTTCCCGATGTCACTGTTTTGCTGTGCTCCATCTGTACCATATCCCACTTGTTCCTTTATTAACAGTGATTTAATTTTTTATTTCTAAAATTTTGAATTTCTTTTTTCTTTCCTACTTGGTCCTGTTGTTTCATGTCTGTACATCATCATTATATTTTTATTTCTTCTTATTGTGATAGCACTTTTACCTTTGTTTACTATTTAGCATCCTCCAGATACTTATTCTTGACAGATTGCACTAAATGAATTGCTTCTACAATCAGTTCCAGTATAGTTATTTATTGTGTGTCTTGCTTTTTTTGTATGAGATTTCAACATGTGCTATAACACTGTTTTGCACCTTACTTTTGAGTAGAAGTTTTTTGTGTGTCAGTGTCTTCCTTCTGTCTCATTTCATACCTTCTCTGTATCTGTCCCCCTCTCTGGATTTTGCTGTTGATATTGGGGAGATTGTCAGTTAGGATCCTGAGCCCAAGAGTGGCTTGATACACTTCTTGGGATAGAGGCAGTGATTTTCTCCCCCATCTTCCTATACCCACAGTCTCTGACTAAAGCCAAAACCTCAGTCAACAGAATTTAATTGCTTGTTCTCTCAGCCTTGGCTTAGAAATAGAACCCTGACTTTGCTCTGGCTTCAAGTGATAAATCTGGTTTAAATCCCCTAGGTCGACCAGGCTACTTCTAGTTTCCTTTACTTTCCCAAAGAAACCTTTTTACCTTCCTTCCCCACCACACATTGTTTCTAGATCCGGAGAGCAGCATGTCTGTAATATCAGGTTCTGCTCAAATTTTGGAATTTTTCTATCTTTTCTTTCCCGAAAGTGGTTCTTACTAGGCTTTACTGTGTATTTGAGTTTCTCTTTTTATTCATTTATGCTGTGCAATAATGACAAGTTTCTGGTTTCTGAATTTACCCTAAGATGTTACCAAAATGTTCTATTGACTTCTGTTGACAGGAGAATAGTCAAATTGTATTAAAAGGGAGATATGGGGTTAGAAGCTGATTTTTTTTTCCCGAAGAGGATGTTAATTTTTTTGCTATTGTCTCTATAAAGTATAATTTCATTTTTAATTCTTGCTAAAAATTCTTTGTAACAGTTTTTGTAATGACAACTATGTATTATAGAACTTTTGGAAAACATAGCAAAGCATAAACATAAGCACATATAAACACATGTGCCCTGAAAACAACTTGTGATTTCATAATGCAGAAATAGATGTAGAATATTTGGTTGTTTATTCATGCTTTACAGAGTCATATAACAATCATATTTATTTTAAAAAAAAAAAAAAAAAAGCAAACCCAAACCCATTCTTACTTTGTAGGTGATGCTGTGAGTGCCGGAGATGCACTGTGTGAAATTGAGACTGACAAAGCTGTGGTTACCTTAGATGCAAGTGATGACGGCATCTTGGCCAAAATTGTGGTAAGTTTTCATTTTGATGATCTTCAGCGGGATGAAGACATCTTAAACATAGATTTGCTGGAGTTGAAGTTACTTTCTATTTTTACTTCTTTATTTTCCGTTTTCTACTATAAAATACACTTTTAATTCAGGTGTTTACAATGTTTTACTGTGTAGGTCCAGTAATAACCTGTTTTTCTGTACTTCCTGAACTTTGTATACAACATATATTATTTTTAAAACAACTAGGGAGCATATGAGAAAGGTAAGTAAAATGAACTACATATGGTAAAGCATCACTGTGGGCTATATGGTATACTTACTGATGGAGCCAACTAGCATGCTGTTTCTTGTAGCGCAGTTGTCAAGAGAATGTGGAACAACAGCTAAAACTGACTTTGGTACCACACTGTGGCCCATTTCATGTAGCTAAAAACTGCTACATATTAGCTATGTAGAGAGTACCAAAATGTCTGTGCCTTTTTCTTCATAAAGAGGTGGAGAGGAATATAATACATCACAGGTAGCAGGGAAAGTAGCTGGGAGAATATGTAAGTGTTCATCCCAAAACCTGTTCCCCAGCAAGTGCTTGAGAAGTATTAGAGTTACATATTCAGTTCTTGGTAACTGTTATCCCCCGTGTTAGTCTGGATGTTTGTGTAATCATTCATGTTGATTGGTTGGCTGCACTGTAAGTATCCTTTTGTACCTATACAGTTTGATTTGTACAGGTAAACTGTATACGTCTTTGTTAGGACCATTTTAGTTCTGAGCCATCAGCTTACTTGACTGGGTACAACTTCCTCTGCCTGTTCTGTCCAAAGACCACACTTTGGGTTGTTATACTCTAATTAAATGCAGATCTTTAAATGTTTTTAAAATGTGTTTCTTCCTAAAAATCCTCTTGCACTTCTACTTCTTCCTCAGTATTGGGAATTGAGCTAGGGCCCTGAGCATACTAGGCTGTATATACCTATTTCTTTTTATTACTTCTGAGATCTCACTAAGTTAGACTTGATCTTGGAATCCTCCTGCCTCAGCTTCCAGAGTAACTAGAATTACAGGCTTGCAAACACTGTGCCCGCCTTTTATACATTTTTTGAAATCACTTACTATTTTTTCTCAAACTACTTACATTTTATTGTTGATATTTTATAATTTAAAACATCCTTTACTAGCCACTTATGTACTAACATCCAAGTTAGAACACATTGTTGAAAATACAGTTAACTTCCTTGGAGGAAATATCAACTGAAGGTTAAAATTGTCCTGTCTTTATAGCTGATGAATACAAATATTCATACCATTTAACTAATTTGTGTATTTTGAAAAAGGAAAAGATTGCTTAAATTACCATATGTAATAAGCCCTGTTACATTTTATTGGTATGCTTTTGGCAGACTGTGTTTTTGGCCCTAGTTTTGTATTATTTGCCTGTGAAAACCTTTCAAAATTGATAGAATTTCCACTTACCTGCTTAGTAATGGATTTCAAATTGCTAACCATGTCGGTGGGTCAGTAATGCATATTCATCTGGACCCTAATCCTCTGCAAAAAAGTGAACAGTTGTACTTAATAACCACCTCTCAACATCATTATTTCCTGACCAAAAACAGATCCTGTGGCATGTATACACATTGCAGCTCTTACTACTCTGCAGGCTTTTTGAGTAATGGAAATAGGTTGAATTCATGTCACAATCTATGTGATTTTACAGGGGAAAAATGGACAAGAATGATAGTATTACTAGTGAGGGTTTTTTGTTTGTTTTTTGTCATCTGTCCCTCTTCCCCACCAGCACTATCACCACTAGCAAGAGTTTTATACCTTTATCTTTTATTGTGGAAGAATTCTCATACTATCACACATAATAAAATGATTTTATAGGAATACATATAAGAGGTTTCTAATGTCAGAATCAGGGGTAACTAAGCTTATTAAAAAGTAAAGAATGATCTAAAAAATAAGTACAGTACTTAACCCCTAAACTGTAAGCAACTGACCCTCTAGTGTTTTGAGCCTACAGTGTTTTTTTTTTTTTTTTAAACCAGTACCAGGGATCCTACATTTTTTAAAGAATTGGAAAGATTATAATTTATTTTACCCTTCCCATGAGTTTAATTTCAAAGTCTTTGATAGGTTTTTATATTATTCTACCTTCACAATTTTATTGTTTTCTTTTTAAGCAACTGTATACTTTTTGCATCTGAATTGCGTTTTAAATATAAGGTAATATTTATTACATATGAGTCAAGAACAAAGTTTCTGTTTTAATAAAGATTAATTGCTGTCTGCATAAATAACTATGATTTATTTCCAGCTTACTTCTGTTAATGTAAGAATTTTTAATTTCCTTTTAATCACTAGTAAATTGTCAGGTAGAAGACCTTTTGTTATTACACACATAAAATCAATTAACCAATTTAGCCTTAAATTTACAGCAAATTGCCAAGTGCTTTAAATGATAAATCAATAAAGTAGGATTTCAGGATGATATATGTGGAGGATTTATCAGAGATTCTCTTAAAATTATTTTTCTCAGTACTAGTTAATGAACCCAAAACCCTTTATTATTTCTCCCTCCTGTAATTTTAATTGAATCATTGCTTTCATTTGCTATCCTTTCTTTGAAAAGCATGAAATTTTTACATTTGAGTTAATTTTTTGGAAAAGAAACACATCAGAAACTTTCTTCCGGACAAAATAATGATATTTATTCCTCCAGAAGTCCAAATTTAAGTCTACCAAAACCAGAACAAAACAAACTCATATGAAAATAAAACAATAAAAACTGCATTCTAGTGAGTCAGTGTATTTTTCAGTCTTTGTTATGCTAACTATCCTTCACCTGATTTCTTAAAAAATACCCCCCTACTTTGCTTTTCTAAATTAAAAATAGTAAAAAAAAAAAAAAGAAAGCTCTGAAGGTTACAATTGCCCAACTTGTTTTGATGTCATGTGCAGCATATTTGGGTCCAGAAGCTATTTGCAGTACACATGATTATGCAAAGTTCCTCATCAAGGATTTTTCCAGGTGTTGTAAAATACCTGCCATTCCAAGTATGGGCCAACACAGATGATCTCCTTTGTGAATTCCACAGGATAATATAGGCACCCAAGTTCTGTGAAATAGACACAGTTACCCTATGTAAAGTATCTCCCGTCCTGTTCCAATACTTTCATTGAGAGGTCAAGAAGCAGTTGGAGAAATCCCACATGGAATTGTCTTCTGGATACCTAAAGATTGGGGCAACTGTCAGATCATTAATCACAGCATAACTCTCCTTTCTTTGCGTACCTCTTCCGAATTGGGAACAGCCTTCTATTAGAACATGATAGTGGTCTACCTCAGATGTCACCATGTTTTTCCCATGTGGTTCTGACACCCATCAGGCACCATGTGGTCAGTCTCTACCACAGTGACCATCTTTGGTTTCAGCTGACTGCTTAATGCTATGCCTCCTTCCCTGCCTCCCAGAGTTAGTTCATCTTTAGCAGTGTCATCATCTTTGCTGCTGCCAATGATAGCCCAGGTATAGGCCAAATCATTCTGTCAAGTTAACATCCCCACTGAGGATGAGAATATTTTCAAACTGCCTGGAGTATACAATTGTAATGTTTTAATAAGGTGGACCTTTATTGTACTCCGCTTCGTCTGTGTCAGCAGCAGTGGGCCTGTGGCTATCTATGGTGCCTCCTCAAATTGTGGGTGGCAAAGGCTTCACCTGCCCCAGACTGCCCTGCCTCAGTTCTTTCAGTCTTTCTTCTGCTTTGTTTGAAAGATTGTCAGTTTCTACTTTGCTCTTTGTATGTATCAATCTCTTTACCCTTAAGGTCTGTCAACACCAGTCTACGTGGGTAAATTGTCAAACTGGCGAAGCTGCTATTTTTATTTGTGTTAACTTTTCACATAGCCACAGTCCTGCCAGGCATGTGGCGCATCAGTCATGGCCTTGCTGCTGGAAAAGAGCCCGGCAAGCTTGTAGAATGCTTTAGCCTGTGGTACCCAGCATGAAATGGAGCCTGCCTGCCACATAGCTGCTATAGCAAGGCTGGGTCAGCATGGAGTGCACAGCGCTGGGAAGCTTGCTGTAGAGGTGGGTGGTGCTATGTGTAGGCACCCTGGGAATCCAGTGGGAGACCCTGATAACATGCAAACTTAGCGCCACCTGGCCATGTGCCTGCCATGTTAAGTCACCTTAGGTCTAAGCAGTCTTCCTAAGTCTCCCAGTGCTGAGATTGCTGCCAAGTGTCACTGTTTTATTGACTGGTAATATATTCACTGATAATTTTTATTATATTAGTAAATCATTGAAATTACTATTTTTTTTCTCTTTTTATCGGTACCGGGGATCGAACTCACGACCACCTGCTTGCAAGGCAGGTGCTTATGCCGCTGAGCTAAATCCCCAGCCCCTGAAATTATTTTCAAAAGTAGAATTAACCATTCCTTTTCTTTTCCCATAACATTAGAAATCAAACTCAAGGACATCATACTGAGTTAAGTCTCCAGCCCCTTTTTTATTTTGTATTTTGAGACAGTCTCTTTGTATTTGAGTTCCCTGCTTTATGATTCAGCTTTCTAAAACCAAAAAAAATGCAAATACCTAAAAATACATTTTATTTGATATTTAGATCAGTAAAAACTAAAATGATAATAAAGGGCTATCATTTGCTGCGTGAGACAGTGTCAGTGTCATGTTGATGGGGTACATGCTGAATCATTTCTGTGACTTCTAGTTAATGAAACAAAAATGTCAGTTTCAGATTTAGTGTAGTGTCTGACTCACATTTCAGACGTTATTGATATTTTTAAAACAAACTTTTCTCCTTTTTTAAAAGAATGTTTTATATTTGCATTATGTTCTTTGTAGTTGGATATTAATCTGATGTTTGCGTTTTAAAAGTAATTATCAAATAGGATTTAAATGAATACTTTTGCTATCAAATGTTTAGAAAGTTAGCATTTTACTTTGATTTTGAGTTAACATTTCATAACAAGTAAACACTTAATGATTGATGGTTTTCGTGGCCTGTTTTTAAAATCTTTGCCTACTCCAAATTCACAGTTATTTTCCCCTATGTTTTTTTCTAGTAGTTTTAGTTTTATTCTTTACATTTAGGTCCATGAGATACTTCGGTTTGTTATGGTTCAAAATGAAAGTCAAAATTCAGTCCCCCTCCACAATATGGATCTTCAACTGTTTCTTTTCTTTTTTTAATTTTAAATTAAGTTTATTGGTACAATTTAGATATACATAAAGCTCATACTCATCATAGGGAATTTGTACCTGTATATAGTACATTTTCATTTCTTTTTTTTTTCCTTAGTTCCCTCCTTATTTACAAAACTTTGTTTCTTATCCTTTTATTTTCTTATTTTTTATTTTTTCCCCCACTATTGGTGAGAGCCTAGACTCACCACTGGTGAGTGCAACCACTATGGAAATCAGTGTGAAGATTCTTCATTAACTAGGATTAGAGGTCCCATTTGACCCAGATTTTCCCCTTCTGGGTATCTTCTCGGAAAAATTAAAATCATTCCACAGTGATATATGTGCACCCATGTTTATTACAACACGGTTTGGAATATCTGAATCTTGGAAACAGCCGAGATGCCCACCAGCCGAGGAATGGATAAAAAAGATGTTGGAGTTTTTGTAATACATTGGAGTACTGCACAGCCAGAACGAAGGACAAGCTTGAGACATTTCTAGGTAAATGGATGTGCCTACACTGAAGTGAAGTAAGTGAAACCCACCTGTGTACACATCCCATTGTCTCCCTGCTGTGAAACTGAAAGAATAAAGAAGGACCAAAATGTATAATAGATAGGTGGAATAGGAAGAAATTGTTCTCAAGGAAAGAGGAACTGGGAGGCAATAAAATAAAAAATTTTAAAAATTTAAAAGTAATCTTTACTCATCTTTTTGACATAGTAGTGTCAAATGAACAGCCCACAGAAGTAAAAGCTTTTTAGTGTGCAACAACGAACCAGCTAAAGTTTTCTTGGATTGTTTAGTGTTTTTCGACAGCTTATATAACACATTATATATTCTCATTTAGTTTTCTATGCCCATTTCTTATGCTGTTTTTCATTAAAGCATTGTTTATATTTTTCATTGATAATTAGTACATTTTTAAAGCTTAACCTACAAAATTTATGCCTTATAGGACACATACAAATAAGCAAAATTAGTGTTTCTGTAAAATGCCAAACCCATCCTAGGAATTATGCTTTCCTTTATAGTTACTGTTAGGGATGTCCTGCAACCTATCACTCTGTTTTTCATTAAATACATCTGCGTTGAGCCTTATTTAGAGTAATTGAAAAGGAATAATAGAATATTTTGAAAGAATGACATTTTCTGTAATGACTCTATAAATATTGCTATCAAATGGCATTCTAGGGATTGGTAATAAGTAAATCAGAATTAGCTCGTTCTTTATAAATTAGTTCTGTTTAAATGCTTCAAATCCATTTATCTTAATTTTAAAAAACATTTGTAGGTCTGGGGCTTTAGCTCAGCGGAGTGAATGTCTGCCTGGCAAGTGCAAGGCCATGAGTTCAATCCCCAGTACACAACAAAACAAAACCAACAGGAAAAAAGGTTGTATCTCTCTGAAGATGTTAGCAGATATTGTCTGTGAAAAATTGGTTAGCTGGGACACCACTGTGTTTCTGATACAATTATAATGAGCCCATAAGATTTATTTCTGTGGTTTTATAAATAGATATTTAGAGAAAGAAATAATAGTGAAACAGTTAAACTGTACCGAACATAGCGAGAATCGTTAACCAGTTCTATCTATATGATGCAATATTCCCCTCCCCCTGCAGAGATTTAAGTTTACTGAAAACATTTTACTTTAAATTAATTTGAGGAAAGCAGGACTGATTTAGAGGAGTTAATGTCTTGCAAGCTCTTACACTTCTGAAGCAATTTTACAGATGCTGTCAGGGAAAGATAAATCATTAAGATACACAACCACAGTTTCCTGTTTTGGATTTGTTTTAATTGACATAGCAACAATAGTGCTTACATATTTGAAGGCTGCCAGAAAAAAAGAGCAGTTGTAGATGCTCCTTCGTTTCAGGAGGCAGCTTGAGTAATTTCAAGAGAAGGAGTAGTTGGGAGTATGTGGGAGAAAGTAGGAAGGGAAGGTGCGGGTCAAAGGTGGACACAAGTTGTCCTGAAAGCAGCTTTTAGCTTGCATTTAAGAGATCTTTTTAGCTAGTACAGAAGTATCCAACTAAGAAATAAACTACTTTCACTCATGAGACTTTTCATCTCTGTGGTTATTTTGTTTTTAAAATGTAGGTTGAAGAAGGAACTAAAAATATTCGGCTAGGTTCACTAATTGGCTTGATGGTTGAAGAAGGAAAAGATTGGAAACACGTTGAAATTCCCAAAGATGTAGGTCCTCCACCACCAGTTTCGAAACCATCAGTTCCTGGCCCCTCACCAGAACCACAGGTTTCTCTGTCTGTAAAGAAGGGGCATCCACCTGGTGCATTGCAGTGAGTATGTTTATTTGAAAGATGATTAAAAACAATATTATGACCATTCTTAAGACTTTTAATCATTATTATATTCAAGGCATCTTTGTACATTAAATAGGAAGTTAGCAATCTTGCCTTTTTTTCTCTCTCTTAGAACGCTGAGACCTAGGGTGACTGGTTTGTTATCATTGTTCATTCAGTAAACAGTTTCTGAATACCCGCTGTGTTCAGGTGCCTGGACAGCTTTGCTTGCTTAAAGGAGAACAAAACAGTCTGTGTCCACATTGAGCTTGAATTAGGTTTTACAATTTCAGAATGGCATTCAGTGTACCAGACTTCCTTATTGTGTTCCCATTCATGGAGTTCTAATTACTATAACATGAATTCTGTTTTCCAATGTATAACTGGCAAGAGAAAATTAACAATTTAACATGTGTTCCTTTTAAGACTTTTGAATTTGAGATTCTGACACATGAAGATCAAGTGTTCTGTAATAAAATTGATACTTAGTAAACATTTTACTGTTTAAATCTCTGAAAATTCTAAAATGTTTCTTTTAATATTCTCTAAGTATATGAAATTAATTTATGTTAAGAAATTTGTCATAGAGAACTGCTTCTGTACTTAAAAAATGCAGAGCCTTTATTACTTTAGTTATTGTCAACTCTGGTCAGTAAAACATTCATGTTTTCCATGTATCAGTATGAAGGATTTTTTGCTTTGTTATTTTTAATCAACTTAGGGTTTGTACATATTTATAAGGTGTAAATCTATAATTTGTAGACAGAAAGTAAGAGTCCTGGGCTTTGTCTCCTTTTATTTTCCCTTCATTTACTATGAAAATCAGAAAGTCTCATCATCGTGTTTTACTTAATGATACTGTATTGTCTTCATGCAAAGATAAGTGCATGCTCTACAGTCCCACTCTGTTAAAAAGTGACTAACCTGTGAATGTGCGCAATTTGGCCTACATAGTGATTTTTTTAAAATAAAAAGTTTTGAATTGGTTTTTTTTTACTGAACTTATATAAAAATATAAAACTTTTGAGTTTCTCTTTAAAGATTTCATAATACTAGACACTTGTCAACTTGCGCTACTTTCCTGAGATAACAGCAAATTGTACTTTTCTGTTTACTAATTTTAAACTTTCAGACCCACTTGTTTCTGTTACATTGTTTGTCTAAATATGTAGTCACTTATGTTTGTTACGTTGCTTAAAGGTCTTAAGTGAAGACAGACACTTAGTAGCCATAGGAACTTGGTGCCCCTGCTTGTTTGTCCACACACTCAGTATAATTGTTTCTCTGTTCTCTTACTCTTCTGAAATATATGTAAAATAAAAATATTTTCATGTAAAACCACAGATTTTAGAAAATATATAAATGAGACAACTCAGTAGCAATAAATGAACCCAATTAAAAATGGACAATGGCCTTAGACATTTCTCCTACGAAGATAAACAGATAGCTGGTATATACATGGAAAACATACTCAGGATCATTAATTGCTGGTGATATACAAATCCAAATCCTAATGAGACACCACTCCAAACTGTTAGTGTGGCTGTTACTAAAAAACAACAACAGAAACAAAAAATGGCAGCATATAACAAATAGTGAGGCTGTGGAGAAACTTTAGCTCTTGCTGGTGAGAATGTGAAATAGTACAGCTGTATTGAAAACAGTATGACATTTTGTCAGAAAAGAGTTACTGCAACAAGTCTACTATTAAATATAGTCAAAGAAGACATCAGTACTTACACATCTGCATTCACTATTTATAGCGCTATACATAATAGCAAAATGGTAGAAACAACTCATGTGTTGAATATGCTGTGCCTATTCCTGAAATGTATTTCAGCCTTAACAGAAAGGACATTCTAGTACTTGCTGTGACATGGATAAACCTCGAAGCCAGGCTGAGGAAAATTAAGCCAATCACAGACGCACATACATTGTGTGATTCCTCTGACACAAAATATAAAATACATGATGAGATCAGCGGAGACAGAATAATAAGGGACTGGGAGGAAGGAGGAATGGGAAGTTATTATTTAATGAATTTACAATTTCAATGGAAAGATGAAAAGGTTTTGGAGATGAATGATGGTGATGGTTGCACAACAGTGTAATTATACTTAATGCTGCTGAACCATATACCTTAAAATGCTTAAAATTTAAAATTTTCTGTATAGTTCATCATGAGGAATATATCAACAGTATAGTTAGATCTTCAGTGATGTGTTATGAAGAACCATTGAAATTTAGTTACTTAAAATGTAACTGCATTTTGCTAATGAGTATTTACTCTTACTAAAAGAATAAGTAAATAGTTAATTTTTATGAAAATGTTTTGAAAGTAAAATAAAAGAGAAGTACAGATGAATTTATTTGACTGTGACCGTCTTTAATTTTAGTATTTTGAGTTTCTAATTATCCCTGAAACTTTTGACATTTAGATCTATTTGAATCAATGGAAATGTTAATTAGTTCCATTAAGTTCCATGTTTTCTTCTTAGGTTCCGTTTAAGTCCAGCTGCGCGCAACATTCTGGAGAAACATGCACTGGATGCCAGCCAGGGCACAGCAACCGGCCCTCGGGGGATATTCACTAAAGAGTATGTGTGTGCTTTCTGTAATAATCAATTCCATTATTTATCTTTTTTGAAAGATTTTTAAAAGAGCTTATTCAGTGTTTAGATTTAAAAGGAGATACACTGTTCCTTTGTGCTTTTAATTGCTTTTTTCCATGTAAATTGTATTCTATGCAAGTGTTGTTTTCTGAATAATTGCCACAGTATTGAAGAACATTTCTAATTTAGTTTATAACTCAGCCAGATCCTTAAAAATGGTGATTAATGCAGAAAACTAGAGTGCAAAACAGAGAAATTTTATACTGTTTCAAGTTTGTATTAAGTCATCACACAAGTACATTTAAATTTCTAAAACATAGAAATGTATTTTTAAAACTAATATAGCTCTTATCTATTTGAATTGTATTCATTTGTTTCAAAGTAAGTTGGTTCTCTTTGGATTTTTTTCCTAGTCCATTGATCTATTTCTCCATGAGTTAGTACCATTTTTTTAGCACCATTCTTTTAATTATAAAAGTTTTATAGTATGCTTTAAAATCTGATAGAGATACCATTTCTTTCGATTGCTCTTTTTCTATAAACTAGTTTTATTGTTGTGTTATTACTTTATTCCTCCAAATGAATTTTAAGCAAATCTTCAAGCTCCACTGATAAGGATGGGGAAAACTTTTATGGGATTGTATTTAATTAACTTTGCAAGAACTGGCATCTTTATGATAATGAGTCTTCCTATTTCAAGAAATGGGTACATCTTTCCAATTGGCTAAACCTTTGAGTCATTTAAGAGTGTATAAAGTCTCCATTGGAGACATATTAACTCTCCATTGGGACTTAATATAAGAGAGAAGATAGAATAAACAAATAGACTTGTGAACACTATAGTAATGTGTGGCACATTCCTTTGTTCATAGTCGTATTAAATATTTTAAACTGAACTAATTTCAAAGCAGTATTGTCATTCCATGTTTGACTAATACTGATAAGAAATAGTAATATTGGCCTGAACTTTGATAAGTTGGGATAAATCAAAAGGTATGAAATTATAAGTGACAGTGCTGAACTAGGCAAATTGACTTTCTTTACTGATTTGCTGTTCATGAGAGTATTGATTTACTGTTGGGTATTTCTTTATTTAAAGCAGTTAGCTTTATTTCTTATTTCTCCTCATTTCTCTATACCAGTGATGGCAAACTTTTTAGAGACGAGTGCCAAACTGCAATCCAAAGCCCACTTCTTTCTCACAAAATGCCAACACTGCAATTAAACCTGAATACTAAGGTTTTAGTTTAGAACAAACAGCTTATGCAGTAGCATCCTTTGTCTTAAATGAAAAACAATACAAATGCTACAGGTTCAAAAATATGGCCTTTTGTAACCAAATGTGTGTGTGTGTGTGTGTTTGTGTGTTTCTGTTTCTGTTTCTGTTATATACACACTGGATAGTTCATTGCATACCACATGTGTTGGAAATCTGCTGTCCTGCAAGCTACTAAAAGAATGTGCTAAACCATGGAATTTTTAGTTGGAAGACTTAAAGGTTCACTTACCCATAAAAAACTAAAATTAAAAATCCTGACAGCCAGTCAAGGCTAGTGTCTTTACCCACATCAGTGTTCATCTAGTACTTACAGCTTTTATTTTGCTAATTATTTATCAATGTATGCCATAGTAGAATTCTGTGGAAAGGGGAGAGAACAACCATCTCCATAAAAAGGTAGATCTGCCCTGCCAGTGATTCTGAGGGACAGATGAAGAATCTGCATTTAATTCATCATTGAAGATTTGGTGAAGTATAAAATAATCACAACTGTGCTTAGAATGATCAGTTTTCCAAATTTCTATGGGAGAAATTGGGACAGAAAACTATGATAAGGAAGTAAATACTAAGCTTGTAAAGTAATCTAATTTAAGAGATCATAAATTTTTTACATGGACGTGTGTCAAAGAAGTAAAAGGGAGATTCTGAAGCACATCATAACAATGAAATGCAAAAGCCCTTGTAAACAACTGAACATAGAACATAGGCTAGGGTGGCAGCAGTCAAGGAATGACTTGGAGATTCTGGTCTGTGTGGTGAAAACATTGGTTCAGAAACTGAAGTAAATAATTTTGGGGCTGCCTTTGTCTTGGTAGAGTGAGTTATGTTTGAAGCTTACTGTTAGCTTTACAATCCCTCAGGATTAGGATGAGTAAAGCAAAGATGTGTCACAGGAGATAGTTGGGACTAGACAGGGAGGTGTGGTAGGTGATAAAGCAGTGTAGTTGAGATTGCCCATCATCAAACTATTGAGAAGGTTCAAGTGGGGGGATGGATGAAAAGTCAAGGAAGAGACTAATAGTTAGACCGTGACTTACTAGTTTTCTTTTTTTTTTTTTTTTTTTTTTTTTTTTTGGTCTTTTTCGTTTTTATCGGTACCAGGGATCGAACTCACGACTGCCTGCTTGGAACGCAGGTGCTTATGCCGCTGAGCTAAATCCCCAGCCCCCTGACTTACTAGTTTTCTGAATTTCTTCTGTAGGAAGCATTTTTCTGAATCAACAGAAGACCCTGTTTTTTTTTAATCAGGGCAGGTATTTTTTTTAGTCTGGCTAGGATTTCGGTTCATGACATAGGTCTTACAGGGATTCTGTTGATAGACATGTAAGTATAATCGCAGTCAACAGTACTTATGGGTATAAATGCCATATCAGAATTAAAAGTATAAGAAGTAATCTTTTCAAAAGCCCACAAAGATTCATAAGATACTTCCCTAGGATGCAAACTTACTGTTCTCCAGTCACCATGACCAGGTGATAGCTTACTTTTGAAAACCAGCATTGCTACTAGATACGTTCCTATTTCTCTTTATATGATGAGTAGAAAGGCCTTTGTCAGGGGATCTCACATTTAGCTTTCAATTAGATAGATCCTATGTCTTTATTCAATTCCAGAGTTGCTGTTAATCTCAGATAGGCTTATTTAATTCCGTAACAGTCTGTTGTTAGGAGAAAACTGCTATAGTTTGCACTTAATTTGCATAGCATGTACATAAGTATTGGCAAAGGTATAGAAAATGTGCTGGCTTTGGGCTGGCTCTGGAGTTTGAAACCAGCCCTGACAGCTACTAGCTGCCTCCCTCACCAGCTTTCTCTCTTAACTCTCTCCACTTCGTGTGTGTCCTCCTTCAGTGCTGTCTTCCTGCTGCTCTTTCCTGCCTTTCCACTTGTTCTTCCCTCTTCCTGGAAAGATACTTCTTTCAGCTCTTGATCTTGCTACTTTACATAATTCTTCACAAATACCTTCTCAATCCTTCTCTGGCCATGAGTTTAAAGTTACCCTGTTTCTAATCCATTGCTCTTTCTCTTATTATTCTGCTTTGGTTTTTTTATTTCAGAAAAATCACTAGCATATTGATTGTTCATATAATGATATATAATATGTAACAATGTGTAATATGTAATAATACGATGGGCGTTGTCCTTTTTAACCTGGAATCACCCTACATCTAGAGTAGCATAGAGATACTTGAAAAATTATTATGCTTAAACATTAAATTTCACCACTGTGAGCCTACTCATCTGTAAATTAAGATTACATAACATAAGCACTTACTTGACATACAATACGATTATTTTGCCACTTTTACCCTTTTTGTATACTAAGGGATCTACTATGATGTAGCATTTTAGATTTGTATGTCAGTATGACCTCTCATCTAAATATCAGTTCATTAGTTTTGAAATAAATTAGGCCCAGGGATTTAGCTCAGTGGCATAAGTGTCTGCCTGGTAAGTGTAAGGTCATGAGTTCAATACCTGGTACCAAAAAAAAAAGTAAATTAGTCACACTTAATGCAAAGTTCGTATATCTCTTTCTGGATTTCATATAAAGCACAGGTCCTCTTTCCTGACAACTAAATCAGTGCACATTGAAGTGTCTCTTTAATGTTATAGCCCAGGTTAGAGCACCCTTGCCTTTGTTACTTTTTTGTTATGGGTAACAAGTTTCAACCTTCTCGGCACCGTGAGTACCTGTTGGCTACCTAACAGTTGCGTAGGTCAGAAGACTGAGCACAGTGTGACTCATGTCTCACAGGGCTAAAATCCAGGCATCGTCCAAGCAGGGTCTCATGAAGGTTGGAATCCTCTTCCTGTTTGTGGCTTTCATACTCCCTAAGCCCTTGCTACCTATTTTTGTTTATTTGTTTGTTTGTTTGTTTGTACAGGGGATGAACTCATGACTGCGTTTGCAAGGCATGCGCCTATGCCTATGCCACTGAACTAAATACCGGCCTTGCTGCCTGTTAATCAGGTGCTGCTGTCACCTCCTAGAGGTCAGCTTCCTTTGGATTCTGCCCCAGTGATTGTCTCAGTGTGACTATTTGCTTTAAGGCCAGCAGTTGAATTGCTTTCAACCCATAGTTCTTGAGAGGCTCAGTTCCTTCTTCCCTGTTATGTCCTGTCCTCCAAGATAATTTGCCTTTTGATTAACTTGAAGTCGACTGATTTGGAATCTGAGTCACATATACAGAGTCACATCAACCTTGTCACATAATGTAACCTAATCGTGGCAGTGATACCTGTCATATTCACAGGCTAGGGTCATACAGGGAATTGGTAGCAAACATATGGCACACGTGTCAACAGTGGACCGTATCACGGAAAGCTCTAAAGGATTTACCATCACTGATACAGCCTAACAGTACTGGAATGACTTTAGAAGTCTGCCTGTGATGCTGCTGTAAGATAATTAAATAAGAGATTGTGTCAACAGATGCTAAGTATTTCCCTTTATGGTTTTGATTTGGTGATGCCGTAAGTGGAACAATAATAAAATATAAGCTGTGTTTGAGAAACTTTTTAAACTAGAAGTTACCTTTAGCTTTGTATTGCCCTAAATTTTTTGCTATATTATATATAGCAAACTTGTAAAAACAATTTTAGCTGGAGCATGGTGGCTTGTACCCATGATCCTAGCACTCTGGAGGCTGAGGCAGGAGAATCACTGGGAGCTTGAGGCCAGCCTCGGCTATACAGTGAATTCAAGGCAGCCTGAGCTGCATAGTCTCAAAAGACAAAAAAAAAAGAAAAGCTTTTTTTTTTTTTCTTTCTGAAAAGCTGTTTTTAAAAATGTATTACTTTTCCCCATTATAACTTAGTACAATGAATCGAGAACGTGGCCTATGTTTAGTTACCTATACTGTTTAAAAAATACAGATAATTTTGTTTTTTGAAATAATACAAAAGTAAATCTGTAGCTGGTTACTTTTCATTCTAAGTGATGCAATGAGTTAGGTTTTTCATGTTAGGTAGTGCTAGTTGCATATTCAGCAAATTAAGTATTGTAATTTTCTGGCCATAAAAAAGCTCATTTGCCCTAGAATAAATAATGCTTTAGAAAATAGCTTAATGAAAACCATCGATAAAATAAATTTCATACTTTCTGAATGCTGTGTGAAAATTACTTCACAAGCATAATGAAAGCATGCTTTAATTAGTGAATTGTTCTTACATTCAACTCCCAGCAAAAAGACTAATTTGCTTTTTAAAAATTAGCGTCTATTCCCAGTATTTTGATAAAATTTTGTTTTTTAGTTATTGAAAATGTACATAGCATTGGATAACCAGCAGAGCATGTTGGAAAAGGATTTCCTTTTTTAGCTCAAGTAATTGATTTTGCATTATATGCTTTACAACTGTATTTCTGTATCTTCCCTTCACATTTTGCCTCCATTTTCTAAAGACTGTCTTATATTCTTTGTTGCTAATAACCACAGTTATCTAATTTGCTTTTGTTCCCAGAGATGCTCTCAACCTGGTGAAATTGAAACAGACAGGCAAGATCACCGAGTCCAGGCCAGCCCCAGCTCCTCCCTCCACTCCCACAGCATCTGTAGCCCCGCAGGCCACTGCTGCGCCATCTTATCCTCGTCCAATGATCCCACCAGTATCGACTCCTGGCCAGCCTAATGCTGTGGTAATGTCCTCTGAGTAAGACTTTTATTTTTCAGATAAGAAAAAAAATAAAAACAATTACTGTATATTTTACAAATAATTTTATCAATCCATTTTAGTAATAGTTTATACATTTATGAAAAACAGTTCTCCAAATGCTTTTCTTGCAAATTTCCTAGCATAAACATGTTTGTGTGTACAGATTAAATTCCAAGGAGAAATTATGCCTGGATTTTAGGTGTACCACAGGGTCCACAGTCTCAGTACCTCATGTTACTATTCTGTAATGATGGCATTTGTCCTCATATTTAATAATTGATAGATGACCCTAGTTCCTTTTTATAGATGTGTTTTATTCTTTGACTAGGAGATTAATAGTCTAGCTACATAGACTGATGCTTTTCTTCTTTGCTGTGTGCACTGTAACAGCTGTTTTTTATTTTCAAATTATTCCATTTTTCCTCCCCATGTCTTTTCCCTTGTACCTCTCACAACACTTGTATGTCCCATCAAAGGGAATGCAAGATAATTGGGTTTATTTAATAATAAATAGGCACTCAAAATGAAAAGAAGTAAAATAAACCAACACTGGTTTCACTACTAGAGAAAAACCTTTTATTACAATATTTTGAAAGAATTGAGAACAGTACAGATTTCATAGGAAACAAATTTTTAATGTACATCAGTGATTTATAACACAAAAATTTTTCTGTGTCAGCAGATCTTTTTTTAAAAAGTAGGTTATTCAAATTAGGAGGGTAAACCTTACTTTCAAATTCTAATCCCGTGCATAAAGGATTTATTCTATTTGATCAAGCACTTTGCTAATGTAAGAGATTATTTGCTTAAAAAATCAGCTATATCTTTGGCTACTTTATATTATCCTTAGCTGATTATAATCGTCTCCCAAAGTAAAGTGAAGGAGAATGAAAGAACTAAATGAAATTTAAAGTCTATTGTGTTTTTATGAGAGAGGGTCAGGGACTAGAATGAAAAGCTGTCAGTAAAGTCGCAGGAAGATATTCTTTCAGTCATACTTTATAGTTTGAATTCCTAGGAAATAAGATACTTGTGATTTTTTTCAAATTACAAACCAAGATACAGTTAATTTGGCACATTATCCCTTATATTAAATTATCTTTTTATACTTTATACTATATTTATAAGAATTATTTATATTGACTGGTCTCATTAGGTACTGTTGCATTGTATTACGTGATATTTATAACAAAAGATGGTTACACATTTTGTGTTTTTTGTATGTATATATACAAAATACATGGTATGTGTATATTTATACACATGTCTTCATAAACACATGTGGAAGGAATCATGATTTGGTAGATTTGGGTTTTTTAAATTACCTTAATTATAGTAACATAAAATGTTCCATTTACAACAGAAATTTGAATTTTAAATTGTGCACTGGGATCAGTTCACAAATTTAATTCATTCCTTGAAGATGGCCACACAGTTCTGTTTATCACCTAATGCAGAGTTCACAAACAAAAACAAAATTTTGTTGAACACATCTCTTTGGGAACCTGATTATTCACAAATCAAAGCATTTTTGAACTGAGGAACTGCTGTATATGCTAAAGCCAGAGGCTTCTCAGATTTCTTACATTCCCCACTTACTATAAAGAATTTTTTAATAGTACTTTTCATGTATTGGTCTTTTAGGTTACAGCCTAGATTTCACCCAGGAAGTTGTTTTGTTTACTTTCTCTATTTGATCTATGTTTTAATGGATACATTGCTGTGCTTTTTGTTTTTTGTAGGGCACATTCACCGAAATCCCTGCTAGCAATATTCGAAGAGTTATTGCCAAGAGGTTAACTGAATCTAAAAGTACTATACCTCACGCATATGCCACAGCTAACTGTGACCTTGGTGCAGTTTTAAAAGTTAGACAAGATCTGGTCAAAGGTTAGTAGAGTTGAGATTCTTGAATGTGGTATGTTATGTTAACTCTCATGAAGTTCTTTATTTACAAAATGCACATTTGTATAGCTTTTAATTTCAGTTTGTAATCTAATTACATTCAAGGTATGTTTTAATACTAGAGAAAATAATTGATTTTGTTTCCCTATAGGATATAAATTGATTCCATAGTATTAAATAAATCACAGATGTATTACCTTTATGCAAAATAGGATTTTGGTTCTGCCTTAGTTTTATTCCAGAATCTCTGTGGTGATGTTTTAATAATTTGCATTCAGTTAATATTCATTCAGCAGGCAAAAAATATTGAATCCAACTCTGCCACGCGCTGAGCTTTACAAATAGTTAGTAGTTATTGTTGTTTTAAGCAAAAATATGCTTAATTTTTTTGTTTGCTTTAACTTTCTCATATATGAATCATTTTGTAAGGACACATGACTGACTTGCTTAAGCTAAATGGTTCTTGATTTTGAATATTTGGTGATACGATATCTGAACAAAACAGTCCTTAACATTTTAGCAAGTTTGAAATCCAAATCTGATTTTAGAATGTTTTAGGTTGTAGTATCTTAACATTACTCTTTATAAAAGTTTTAATTATATATTTCTTCAAAGTGCATTTCCACATTAATAAGTTTGTAGTTGCTCCTCTCAAAAAAATAAAAGTTGCTGAGAGACACCGGGCTTTTAATATGAAGGTTTTATTTTTTATTTTTTCAAATGTATTTGTCTTTTATATGATTTTCTAGCCTTATTGTACTGGTTAGTGCCTTTGGTATAATGATGAATATAAGTGGAACATTTAGTCATTCTTGCCTTGTTCTTGACTGAGGAAAAACATTCAGTCTTTAACATTAGTGGTAGGTGTTTATTAGCTTCTCCTTTACAAGTTGAAGAAATTCCCATTTCTAATTTCTCAAGTTTTATGAACAACTAGATGCTGATTTTTTCAAATGTTTTTGTTCATCTCTTGAGATAATCTTTTCTATTGCAGTTTTTTAAAATAGTGAGTAATATCAGTCACATTCAAATGTTGAATCAGTTAATCATTAACCTTATCAAATATTGTTCGATTCCATTTCTCAAAATTTTGTTAAGAATCTTTTCCATTATGCATGTGAAAAACAGTAGATATCTCTTTTCTTGTGATTTTTTTTTTCCTGGACTTATCAGATCTTTTAGAACTAGTTGGGAAATGTTTTCTCCTCTTTTATACCTTGGAGGAGTTTTGGTAGAATCGATAGTATTTCATTTTTAATTGGTTGGTAGAATTTACCTAAGAAGTTGTCTGGACTTGGAGTTTTTCTTATTCTGAAATCTTTAACTACACATTCCATTATTAAGAGGGTTTTTTTAATTGTGTTTCAGAATCAGATTTTTATGGTGTCGTAGGAAATGTGCTTATGTTGTTTATATGAGCTACCACACTTATTGGCATAAGGGTCACAGTATTATCTTATTACATGTCTCTAGCACTTTTATAATCTGCTGTAGTGTTCCATTTTTCATATTAGTAATTTCTGTCTATCTTGATCTGTCAGACTAGATGCTTATTAATTTCTTCAAAGAACTAGTATTTGGTTTTGTTACCTTTCTCTAGGCTTTCCATGATTTTGATTTTTTTACCAATTTCTGCCTTTACCCTTGTTATTAGGAACCCAGATTATTTTGATTTGTAATTTTAAAGAATATTTTACTTTTAATATGCTTATATTGAAATAGGTTCCTTACAGGTAGCGTACACAGCCATACCTCTGTACTGTGTTTTGATGAGAACAAGCTCTTGTGTCGGTCTCACAGTAACTCAGGAACAGTGCAGAACCCCACATACTCACTGTGACCATCTCACACTTTTTTGCATTTTTAAATGTCAATCAAGGGTCACAAAAAAAAAAGAGTAATATTACAAAGCGCAAAGGGCTTATATATTAGCATGGTAAAATGTGAAAATTCCTTAGAACTTTCACAAATATTTTTAGGTTTTTTTGTTTTTAATGTGAAAAAATCATTTAGTACTCACTGGTTTTGTCATTTTTCACGAGTGCCTGAAGGAATTAGTGATAAGCATCATGGTATGCCTGTAATTGACTCTTGCATTTAAAAAAAAAATCCAGCTCTGCAGTCTGTATTTTTGAAGTGTTTAGCTGCTTACGTTTAATGCAGTGGTTGAAAATCTATTATTAATTAATGGTTATAAGTCCACCTTGTTCTTTGATTTCCAGTGTCTCATCTCCCTTTTTTGCTTCTTGTTGCCTTTTCTGTTAGTGTTTTTTGATGGTTCTGTTTTATTTTTACTTTATCCCCTCATACCCTACTGTCTTTGTAGTGACTCCCTAGAGTTTGCAGTGTTCATATTGAACTTAGCACAGTTTATTTTTGGCATGCAGACACCGTTACCAATACCTTTGTTTTTCTTCTCCATTTTTTTATGCTGTTATTGCCACATTATACTTTTTTTTGTGGTGGAAGCCCAGAATGGGTGTTTTAATGTTTTTGTTTTATCAAGTCAATTATGTTTTAAAGAGTTTTTAAATGAGAAGAACAGTCTTGTTATATTTATCTACAGTTTTCCTATTTTCTGTTTCTGTTACTTATTTTTTATATAGCTCTAAGGTGCTTTTTGCTATCATTCTTACTAAAGAATTTCTTTAGTTTCTTATACTGCAGTTTGCCTGGCAAATTTTGTCTGCAGAATTCTATTTTTCCATTACTGTTTTCCATTCCTTTAAAATTTTAATTGTGGTATAGTGTACCTAACATAAAACTTACATTTCAAGTGTGCGGTTAATTCCATAGCATTAAGTACATTCGTATTCTTGTGCAGCCTTCATCACCATCCTTCACAGAACACTTTTCATCCTGTAAAACCAAAATGCCAGCTGTGAAATAATACTCCCCTTTCTTCTCTCCGTCCCGCCCCTGAAAACCATCACTGTACTTTCTGCCCATTCAAATTTGGCTCCCATTAGTACTTCATGTGAGTGGAATCATGTAGTACATGCCCCTTTACTGGCTTCTTATTTCACTTAGTATAATGTCTTCAGGGATTATTCATGTTGAAATAGCTTGTGTCAGAATAGCCGTTTAACACTGAATGATTTATCCCTGTGTGTGTGTGTGTGTGTGTGTGTGTGTGTGTGTGTGTGTGCGCCATAGTTTGTTCATCTACTCAACACCTCATGCTTGAGTTGCTTCAACCTGTTTGTTGTTGTAAATGATGCTGCTAGGAACATAAATGTACAAATCTCTCTTTGTGTCTTTGCTTTTAAATTTTGGGATATAGCCCCGGAAGCAGATTTGCTGAGTAATCTGGTAATTCTACTTTGAATTTTTGAGGAACCACCAGTATGGTCCACCATTTTGAATTTTCATAGACAGTGTAAAGAGGCTCTAATTTCTTCATATCTTCAAAAACAGTGGCTGCTTTCTCTTTCTTTGTTTTTTAGAATAGCCATCTTAGAGGATGTGTCTCCTTCATTTTTTTTTTTCCTTTTAAATTGGTACTGGGACTTGAACTCATGACTGCACACTTGCAAGGCAGGCGCTTATGCTGCTGAGCTAAATCCCCGGCCCCTTTCATTTTTGAAATGTAATTGTGCTAGGTGTACAATTTTGAGTTAATAGTTTTTTTATTCAGTGCTTTTAGATAAGAAAACAGTTATATTATCCCCTGGATTACAAAATATCTGCTGCCATTCTTAATCTTTGTTCCTCTGTGTACATTTCCTCTCACCACCGCCAAATTTGAGTGGCTTGAAGATTTTCTCTGTTAGCAATTTGACTATTACCTACTAGGCTTTTTTCCCTCCCCCCTATTGTAGTTACCCTCCTTATATTTCTCTTGGTTTCTCATATTTGTGGTTTATTGTCTTTCATAAATTTTGGAAAAATTTTCAGCATTATTAACAGTATCATCTGTTTTATGTGCTTTCTTTTTATGTTATTCTGAATTGTACAAAAGGTACTACAAATTTGTTTTGGTTCACTTGTTTTTCCCTCTTTGTCTTTGATTTTGAGTTTGGATAATTTTTAATTGATGTTATTTAAAACTCAGATTCTTTTCTCTGCATTGTTTAAGCTGCAAAAGCTCACGAAAATATACTTTATCTGTGACAGCCTTTATTTCCCTTCTGTTTGAATGTTTTTCATAGTCTTGTTCTCCGGCAATAGTCCTCATCTGTTGAGGCACATTGGACCATACTCTGTCTTCCCCACTCCCATTTTCTGACAGCAGGTAATTTTTTTCCTGTGTCAATCTCTCCTCAGAGCAGATTGTCTCCCTTCACCATTCAGCTCATCCGTTTGCTTTGTGACACAGCCTGCTAATGGACTCAAGAAAGTTACGGTCTTACAATTTGTCCTGCTTTTTCTCTCAGCCTGTTAGGATAGGAACAACAGGCTTGAGCTGTAGGTTTAGAAGTCATCAACTAATAGATGACTGAGTCTTCTGTCTGTGTACTTAAGGATGGGGGTAAAATGAAAAGAGGGGCTGAGAGAGTTATGCGGGGTGAGCAGAATGTGTTCACAAAATATGCTCGCCTGTTTGAATTTGGGCAGATCAAATCTTTTATATACAGTTGTCATGAGAAGTCTCTGAATACTGGAAATCCATTTATATTTAGATTCCCAAAAGGGTATTAAGCACATAAACCAGAACATTTATATATTTCTGAATATCAGAATTAGAAGAGCTATGATATCATGCAGCCAACATATACCAGGATAGCTTGGCAGTAGTTGAGATTTCTGGCAGGTAATTCATCTAATCTCTTTCTAATCTCCAACATACTTTTGGAATGAGCTGTACTCCATGTAAAATACCATCATATTGTAGTAACAGGAAATGTGTTTCTTGACACATACTATTAACTGGATCTTGACTTTAAGTTTTTTTCTCTAAACTGTTAGAAGAAAGAATCAAGTGTGGATTATGTTTTCCAAGCACCCCCATACCCATTGGCAAAAACGAAAGAATAAATCAAGTTATGATCGGCTCTGTAGGGAAGGTGGGGACCCTAGATTTATCTTAAAATCATTATGTATGCTAGGAGGAAATTGATTCAAGTGGATTTGCCATAAATCTAGACAGAGAACTTCATTTTATTCATTGCACTAGGACCTATGCCAGCATTGCTTCATCTTTGGCATTAGCTATATCCTGTCATCTAGATTTAAAAAGCAAGCTGCTGCTTTTATGCAGTGGTCATCTCTTTGTTGGGCACTGTTAGTAAAAAGAAATTTTTGAATACTCACTGTAAATGTATCTGTATGTAATTGTTTCAAGTACTTACATGTACTGTTCTTCTAATCAGTTTCCTGAATGAAGCATGCACAGGATAAGGGGATTTAAAGACAATAAGAAAAAAAATGTATCTTGTAAACTTCCTGGCAATATACAACCCAGAGACCACTTATGTTTTTAGAGACAGAATAGTTGATTATTTGGGTTATTTTCATTCTGTTTATAGTTACATCCTTTAAGTTCTCATAGATGGTATCTGAGTACTTTTTAGATATTGTAATCAAGACTCAGAAATGACTTTTGTGTGTTTGTCTGGTGCTTAGAATTGAAACCAGGACTTTGTACATAGTAAGCATGTTCTCTATCACTAGGCTACACTTCACCCTGATCCCTAGAAATGAACCTTTATTGTTAACACTGATTTTAATGTACTCATTTTCTTTCAGATGACATTAAAGTGTCAGTAAATGATTTTATCATCAAAGCAGCAGCTGTTACTCTTAGGGTAAGTGACAAATGCCAGATACTTTTTGGCTTCTAACAGTCTCATGTCTTGGGATTTTTATAGTAAATGAAACTCTTATTTTTGAATTATAAAAATTTCATAATTGTGTTCAAAATATGCTGTCATTTAATCTTAACTGCCTTGTTTTACTGATGAAGAAACTGAGAGTCAAAGGGCTCCCAAATAAGCCATAACAATATAAAGACTATTCAGTAAATATTAATTGACCCCTATCTTGTGCTAATATATAGTAGAGATACAGAAGCAAACAAGAACCTACCAGTTTTTGCTTTTTTTTTTTTTTTTGTCTTTTTCCTTTTTATCGGTACCAGGGATTGAACTCATGACTGCCTGTTTGCAAGGCAGACGCTTATGCCGCTGAGCTAAATCCCCAGCCCCCGGTTTTTGCTTTTTTGAGATTTATATTGTAGAGAAAACAAATGTGTCAGATGATAAAAGTGTTGAGGAGAAAAAGACAGCAGAATAAGGAGCTACTGAGACAAAATACCCAACACCCAAAGTTAAAGGAGGGAAAGTTTATTCTAGCTTACAGTTTATGGAAGTTTCAGTGTGGAATCAACTGGCTACACAGCAGGGTGATGCTGCAGAGGGGCATTGCCGTGGAGAAACAGTCCATGGCAGAGCAGGCAGCCGATAGGGAAGTGATGCAGCAAAGCAGCAGCAGCAAGGCTCCCTTTCACTTCCATCCCATCTGGGCTACATGGCTTCTGGGTGGTGCCCCCCACACCACCCACGTGGACCTTCCCATTATCAACACCCAGAACCATGCTAAATCAGTCAGTGGAGCAATTCAATTATCACCCACCCTTAGTCGGTATTCACATACCCTAGATCCAGCCAGTTTGAAAAAGACCCACCAGTGAGCACATGAGGCTTTGGGAGAGCATCCAGCTACAAGCCATGACAGGGCCTAAAATAACTAGGGCTGCTGTTTTGAAAAGTTAAGAAAGATTTCTCTGGGAGGTGATAACTGAGACAGACTGAAAGAAAAAGAGTCAAATAGATGTTCAATAGAAGAGCATCCTAGACAGAGAGACCAGGACAAGGAGGTCCTGCAACAGAGAGACGGAGGCTGTGAGGAGTGTTTTACATTACCCGGAGACACAGCACTGAGGGTGTAAAATGCCTAGAGTAGAGTAAGAGAGGTCAGGAAATGAGTTGTTCTTGGTTTTATTTATTTTTTTTTTAAAGAGAACTGAAAAAAGGATTTAAAGGGGGGCAAGTCCATGAGATCCTGTAAAGTTTTTGAGCAAAAGATTCTAATGTGGCCTGATTTACTTTCAAAAGAAATGAGGGAGACTGCTCAGATAGCTGTGTGGAAAGGCTAGGACAGAAGCAAGAGCAAGAGCTTTCCTAGGAGGCTGCAGAAGATGCCCGTGGCTGTGACCAAGGAGTTAGTAGTGGGCTGGGGCGAAATAGAGGTTTTAGTTATACTTCAGGCACACACACAGCAAGTAGGATGCCTGATGGATTTGGTATGGGTATTCAAGAAAAAAGGGTATGGATTTGGGTCTGGGCAGGGAGAAGAGTGGATTTTTCCACTTAGTGAGATTGAGAAAACTGGGAGGGGAATAGCTTTAAGGAGGGGAATCTTGAGTTTGGTACTGGACATGTTGAATTTGAGGAGCCTAATAGATTCCCAGTAGTGACAGCAGGAAGACACATGAAGTGGAGGTATCAGGTAGGAGATGTAAACTAGCAGCTTAGATTTTCTGTAGTCGCATTCCTGCCCTCTTTCTCTAATGATTCTATTTTCAGGATTGCTACCTTAGATTTACAGTATGGTTACAATGAATTCACTTTTATTTCTCAAAAAACAAAAAGGAAAGCTTGAAAGCCATGTCATTCAAATGTGTATTTTCATATGAATTCTCTTAGCTGAATGTTTTGAATGTTGTGAATCATTCTTTCATTCCTTAAATGAATCTCTAAAGGTCATTAGCTGTATTTCATTGTGTAATTTGTGTTAGGAACCATAAATAATTATAATTTAAATTTCATGTTAGCTGGCCTTTTTTAATTTTAAAACTACCTTATTAAATACATTTCAGTTCTTGTTGCTTTCATATGAGTCAGTTTCCTTTTTGCTTATTTCAACTACATACAAAGATTTTTATTTAAGAGGTTTTTTTTTTTTTGCTTTTTGTTTAAGAGTTTTGTAAATTTATCAGTAAAGTATCTGAGCCTAGACTCATAACTATTAATCTATTTAATTTTCAACTTTCTCTTAGTTATGGAAGCTTATATTTGCCTAGAAAATCACCTATTTCATCTAGATCCCAGAATTACTAGCCTAAAATATTTAAATTTATTTTTTATAATTTTTTTAGTGTTCTCATTATCTCAAATTATTGCATATTTGTATTCTCAGTTTATTTTGTATTTCTTTAGGTTCGTCTTGGATAGAAATATTTGGTCAGAAAACTTCAACATACAATTTACTTAAAATCTTTCTATAAATAAGGTTTATAATGTTGTTTTCCTTTAAATACAATTGAGACCATGTCTCATAGGTTTCTAATACATTTCTGATTAAATTATTAGATTATTTTGTCATTCTTCATTTGTGAATATTTTTGGATTTTGTTCTGTCCATTATTTTTGTTTTACTTAATGCTGTTTATTAAGAAATGAAAATCATTTGAGGCTTGGGGACTTTTTTTTATTATTCTTCTGAAGTTTTGGTGTTGTTGAATGAATGAATGATCTGAGTCTCAAAAGATGAAGAAATCTAAAGAGCCGTTGAAATTGACATGAAGGAAGTCCTGCAACATAAATGGGCGGGACAATGAGTGGCTGGTACAAAGTGGGAAATTCATTTTTGGGGCGTGATCACAGGTAAAATTAGGTATAGTGCTGTCAAATTGTACATTGCCATGTTTCAATGGTATAATACAATTCAATGATATTATTTTGTAGAAAACAGAATTTTTGAGGTGCATAAGCTTTTTAAATTACTATTTTCAGTACTGTTTTGTTCTGTGGTATCTGGCAGCATCAATATGTTTAATTTTTTCCTTTCTCTTCATCCTTTGATGTAGTTGTTTGTGTGTTGAATGTGTATGTACTCATATATATTACTATAGTATCCTATAGTTGAAGCTTAGGAAAATGTTTTTAAACAAGGGAGTCATTTAGTGAGGGCTTGTTAATATATATTCCAAAGCTGTGCTTTAAAAGTCAGGCTTCCTTCATGCCCAAGGAATGTGGTTGAATATTGTTACCCTTTTCTTGCCTCAAGGTCCTGTCTGTCATCATATGAGTCAGGATGTATAATAAACATTAACTATTTTCTGCGTGTTAGGTTTAATAAAAGAAGGCTTTTTGTATAGCCATAGTTTCCTCAAGCTTGCTTAAAAAAAAAAAAAGTTTTAATCAAACACAAATAACACAGATTCAAACCATTGTTTCAAACCAAATTTTTATTTCCTTCTGTCCAGCTATATTCACTTTAGAAGATGCGTAATAATATAAATTGTTTTCTTGTAATCACCTTGGTGTAAAGCTGCTTCTTAAGTAACATTTCTTCCCTATTTTCAGCAAATGCCCAGTGTTAATGTAAGCTGGGATGGAGAAGGCCCAAAGCAAATGCCCTCTATTGACATTTCAGTTGCTGTGGCAACAGATAAAGGTTTAATTACACCAATCATAAAAGATGCTGCTGGTAAAGGTGTACAGGAAATTGCTGACTCTGTAAAGGTATGTCTTAAGAAATGCTATGCTTTCAAAATGGTAGCATGAATTTTCTAATTACTTTCTGATAAAGTCTTAACATGGTCTGATCACGTGTGTGTGGTTTGTTACAAGTAATTCTCACTTTTTCCTGAGGTATGAAAATTTAATACTCAAAAAAATTTAGAAATACAAACTTTTATTTTGTAGAGTTCAGAATTCAGTCCTAAAGATGCTGTCAGGTAGATTTTAAAATTGAAGTAAAACTGAAACTGTGTAGTAGCTAGACCTCAGGGTCCATTCTTAGGAAAGTTTATTGTATTCATTTTCTGTCTAGCATTGAGACCACTAAAAGTAGTTAATATTCCAGTTTTGCCTAGTACTTTATTCTTCCTTGGAAAACAGTTACTGTAGCTCACATATGAAGGAATGTGATTTCACCAAAAAATTCCACATTAAATAAGCAGAAACACAGGCACTCAACTTTGACAAGTGAGGTCATTTCCAGTGATATTTCTGGGTGGCAATATCACAGATCTTGAAGTGTTTGTATTAAAAAGTTCAAATTCATCTTGATGATTATTTTCAAGGACCAATCTATATATTTTTAGTGATAGAAAAAGTTACAAGATGGGTAAAAGATAAAAGATGAGATTTCTTTGGGGACCTGGCATATGTGTAGATCTACTTACCCAAAGTAAATAAATGAGGGCAAGTTAACCTATTTAAAATACATATCCATAAACAGTAAGCTTACTTGGAATTTAGAGTGAGATACACAACTGAAGAACAGCTTACCAGAATTGATATTTTTAGATTGTTCTTGATTCTTTGAAAAGATTTGCAGGGTATGTTTTTATAGATAAAAATGCAACTGTTTTCTTCATTGAAAGGTGGTATTAATTTGGCTGATTCGTAAGTCAAAGTAATAGACTGATTCAGCAAATGTAGTACAATATAGACTCTCCTTTGTTGACGGGAGATACATTACAAGACCTGCAGATAGATGCCTCAACCAGTCCTATTTGTTCAGTGTTTTTTCATATACATATATTCTCAGTGATAAAGTTTAACTTGTAAATTAGGCTCAGTAACAGATTAATGTTTAATAATGAAGTAGAACAGTTATAACAGTGTACTATAATAAAATTACTAGCATCATTTTTCAGTAAAATGAAGATTACTTGCATACCACTGCTAAGCGACTCATAGGCAGGTAGTGAATTCAGCACAGGTACACTAGACAAATGAATGATTCGTGTCCTGGGCAGGACAGGGCAAGAATTTTTATAATTCTATCCATAACAGCATGAAATTAAAAACTTACTGTTTGTGTCTGAAATTTTCCATCTAGTGTTTTCACACTGAGATTGACTGGTTACTGAAACTGGGGCTTTGCACATGCTTTTTATTAATTGAGAATTTTTCAGCAGTACTAATACCTGTACTATTTCAGTGTTGCTAGGAAGTTCAGCCAAGATGAAGTATTGAAATAGCTTGTAAAGCATAAAGTACCAAATGTGAGTTCCTGAAATTCAGCTCTACAAGCTAAAATTCTCATGTGTGTACTATGTGTATTAAATTTAAACAGTTAAACCATCATAGGATGGCTTGTATTTTAAATGTAGGCATTTTAGAGTAGTGCAACTATAATGCATAATTCTTAAAAGTTATGTTAGAATTCTTTGCATCCTGAAAGAACTGTCATTTAAGAAATAAAGAGGAGTCTCAGCAGTCCGCAGCCTGGCCTCATAGCCATGGGAAGATAGTCAGAGCCTTTGGAACGACTGCCTCTGGCAGCTCTTGAGCCTTTCGTATCAGGTTGAGCTCCCAGCATCTCAGCATTTGCCAAGACTCCTCTGTGCTGCTGATGCGCCTGCTTCTCTCTCTCTCTCTGTCTTGATCCTTTGATATGCCAAGCGCTGTGCTAATGCTTCATTTTATCCTGTTAGCCAGGGTGACGCAGTGGTAGAAGGCAAGATTTCTTTAAGCCTAGGCATTTTGATTCTAGGTTTGATTCTCATAGTGAACCTCCTCTATGTCATACCACCGCCATCCTTTTTCCTACTCCCCACCTGTGCCTCTGTTCTCTCTGTCTGCCCTCTCCCTCTCTTCCTCTTCCTCACTCTTCCCGCCTCCCCTCCTCCTTTCCCTTTGCCACTTCCTCTTGGCCACCCTCTGTCTTTCTTTCTGTTTTAGATACCAAAAAAGGATTTAATTTGGCCTACCACATGCATTCTTGTATGAAGTGCCCACTCTTGTTGGGCACGTCTCTTACACAAGGCCACTGGGTCATGTGATACAAAGCCTAATGACCCTTCTGGTTTTAACCGTCTTGGTTCTGTTTAGAAGGAATTTAGAGCACGGAGGCACATTGAGGCTTTTGAGAAGTGAAAGCCTGACTGGTGTATTCAAAATAGTACTTAGTTGTCTGGTTTAAAGAGGAGAACCATGGTGTATATCTGGGGGCATATGGATCTGGTTTTCTGCCATATTAGTTTCTTGCCAGAATGGCTTAGGCAGTATAAACGTAACTTATTTCAAAATACCCTAAGTTTGGGTGGTTTTTCTCACATTTTAGAAACTATGATATTTTAGATATTCCTCACAAGATAATTTTCATTTAGTGGCTGTGGACTGTTGAACATTTACAAATACTTACACATCAATCAGACACTTGAGGTGTTTGTGTCTTTCATATCCAATACAGATTTTGGTTCAGTTCAAATCAAGCAAGATTTATTATGTATAACATCTTACTGTGCAGAAAATACCGTCTAGCTGCGTGTGTCCAGCTGTAGCTGCAGGTCTTCCAGTCATAAATGTATTTACCATCATATGTCTTTATGTTGTGTTTTGGCTGCTCCCTAGAAAAAGCTGTAGTCATGAAATAGTCCATTTTTGGAAGAATGTCATTTTTATACAGTTTGAATCTTGCTATTTGTACATCAAGCTTTGTAGTATGGCTTGTTAAAAATTGTAATGTTTATATAGTCAGACAGACAAACTTCAGAATTTTTTTAATTCTTGAAATAAAACCTACTTCAGACCAGATAGAATAATATAACTAATTCATATATGGGTATAGTACTTGGCTCTGGGATGTGGCTCAATGAAAGATTCCTTGCCTACCATACATGAGGCCTTGGATTTGATCCCCACCATGGCAAAATAAAAAGCCCAGTCTCCTACAAACATAGTATTTATATAATCTGATAATCTTAAAGATTTTTTATAATTAAAAATAACAGTAATAACTTTAACAATAGCAAGTGGCATATTACGGGCCAGCTTTTGAATAGGTTTTTACAATTCTTTTCAATCATCTTTAAAATTATCCTATTGAGTACAAAAGAATAATCCTGGTATCATGTTGGTAAAAGGGGAAAAGAAAGTTAAATAATTTGCTCACAATTTACTGAGGTGTAAGACTTGTTAGGTGATGGAGCCAGTATTTTTGCCTACTGATAGTAATTCGATTGTACTTGTCTGCATCCCAACCACTAGGCTTTGCTGCTTTTCATGTAGTAATTATAAAATCTTATTTGAATATTTTCTAAAACCAGTAGTGTTGGGCAGTGATATAGCTCAGGGGCACAGTGCCGGCCTGGTAAGTGCGATTTCAATCCTAGGTATGAAAAAGAAAAGAAAAAATTCAGACAACAAAACCAGAGGCATTTCCTCTCAAAAAATATTTGGGAAGCAGGTTGAAGATAGCTGAACAAGGAACAGTTAGACCAAATACACTGTAATCAGTTGATTTACTGCATCTAACAAAAGGGAAGCAAGCATTGATGTCTTGTATGATAATCTTGTGATTGAGAATGTGAAGTCCATGACAGGAAGAAAAAGTGGTAAAAGAAGAAGAGATGTGAGTTATGGATTCGTCTATAAAAAAGCATGAACCTTAGAGCTGCGGTGTGAGGCTGTGGCCGCAGCAGGCAGGCCACAGGCAAGGACAGGGACACCTGCAGTGGAGAGAGGGAGGCAGCAGCGGCTCTCGCAGGCCCCAGGTACAGGGACTCGAGCTCTGGACTCATGGTAGCAATGCTTAAATAGCTGCCTAATATTCTGTCTCATTACTCTGTTTTATTTTCATTCAATGAAAGTGTATCAGTCTTTGAAATTACCTTGTTTGTCAGTCCTTCAAGTGTTCCCTGCTGTCAGAGGTTGCCTGTCTTGTTCATTACCATATATCCAGTTCTAGAAGACTGCTTGGAATATGGTAATTGGTAAATTTATTTTTCTTTTTTTTCTTTTTTTTTTTTTTTTTTTTTTTTTGTCTTTTTCGTTTTTTTATCGGTACCAGGGATCAAACTCATGACTGCCTGCTTGCAAGGCAGGTGCTTATGCTGCTAAGCTAAATCCCCAGCCCCGGTAAATTTATTTTTCAATAAAAACGTTTTGTTGATAATTTTTCAAAGGTTTATGTGTCCCTGCGAAGTCATGTAATAGACTCCTAGTGCAGAACACCTTACTGTGTATTTACCTCTTGACCCCTACTAATCCAAAGGATGTCAATGTATGGGTTTAGAGGCATGCCCCAGCCAAGTTCAAGTATATTTTCTTTGAATACAGTAACAAGCCCTAGTTCCCTTGCTATGCTTGATTCTTCATTAATTATAATGATTTTAAAAGGCAGAGGAAAATTTGCCTCTTAAGTACCCAGCAAAATTTTGACTGAATTAACAAAGCATACAAAATAGAATTAGTTACTCTTTACATCCATTTAATTCGATGTTTAAACTAATAAGTATTGTACTTTCATTTTAAGTTCAAGATACCAGAAGATCTCAGTGAGAATTATGAATTTTCATAGCCAGTGATCCTCCTCAAATTCTATACTTACTCTAGTTGCTTATTAGAATTGATTGGCAGGAATATCCAGAAAATGTTTTAAGAGTTTACAGAGATTTATTTAAAGTATCGTATCGTATGTATAATTGAAACTAGTTTTTAAAATGCGTTCTGTTTTTTTATTTGTTTAAGCCTGATAGCTTATCAGGCTATGTTGATGTGCTTTTTAACAAACTGTCTTGCAGACTTCACGATACGTATCTATTCCAGTCATATGTGCAGTTATATTGCTTAAGGCAGAAAAAGTGAATTTGTAGGTTGTTCTATTTCTGGTACTTCAAAGGCTATCCAAGTCAAAGCTCATCTCTTCATTTTTCACTTAAAATTCAAGTGGTTTTCATGCTATATCCAAATAATATAAATCTGTAATTATTTCACATGACAGTTAAAAGTAGCATGTTGAGATCAATTTTTAAATTTAGTTTTAAAAATTTTTAAGTCATCTGTGGTTTAATAGTAAATAGTTATTAACTGTCATTGTAATACTGTCTGCTTTGCTGTGTAACACAAAATATTAAGTAAGCCCCAGTTTTAATCTACCCAAATGACAGTGAGTTCACTTTTTCCGTCCCTTCCCTTACAAGTTAATTTATCATTAATTTTTAATATATGATGACTCACCCTCTGTCCTCCTGCTTTGAAGCATCCCAAAGTAAAGATGAACAGAAGTGTGGGTAACTCCAAGGGCAACCAAGGACGATTTATTTTTCTTGCTGCCACTCCCAGTGTCATCTGTCTTCCCTCTGTACACTTTTCGAAGTCAGTATTAAAAATGATACGAAACTAGTTCACTTTTATATTCCTTGTGGCAGGATGAATTGGACTGGTTCACTCAGAAAATGTTGCAGCTCTGGGATCAATAACATAAAAGTGGCTATTAGGTAGGACACTGTAATTTCATGTCTCAAAATGTGTTTGAAATAAATCAGAAGAAACTGCTGAACCAAATGATAACACTGGGGAAATGATTAAGGAAATTACAGCAGCTAAATAATCTTTTCTTTTTCTTTTTCCTTTTTTGGGGGGGTGGGCAGGATGTTGCAGTTGAGTCCAGGACCTTTGCCCTGGGCTACATCCCCACCCACCACTTTAAAAATTTTTTTTTGCAAATTTTGAGACTGGGTCTCACTGAATTGCCCAAGGGCACGTTTGTGATCTGCCCACCTCAGCATCATAAAAAGCTAGAATTGCAGGTGTGTAACAGCACACATGGCAGGTTCTTTAAAATATTAAGCACACATTAAAAATCATCTGTGAATATTAACAACACATGTAATATTGAGAAGTGAAGTACAACATTCTGTTTTTTTCTGTACCATTGTCTGAGGTTACATATGTTGCAAAAAAAAGGAAACACTGAATGATTAAAACTCATATATATTGGTTGTGAAATTGTGGGTACACCTTTCTGGTTACCATTGGATAATTTATTTAAAACCTAATAAATTGACAATAGTGACTAGTAATATTTTTGCTTTACAAGAAAAAACAAACCTTACAGGTAGAATAGACAATTGCATTTTGTATGTGTAGAAGAGTGAAGCATTCTGCATAGTATCAATACACAAGGTAAATCCAATATTTGAAAAAAATTTAAGGAGCCTTGATTGACTTAAGCTTCTTAGCTGCATGCTAGCTTGTTTCTTAAAGTTTTACTAGAGAAAATTTATGTATATATAATCACCTTAAAAATTCAGATTAAGACAAATCAAAGAACAAAGTGACGCAGACAACTGTGTATTCTACTTCTTGTTGTTAAACTTTTTGTATTTTTCTCAGGCTCTATCAAAGAAAGCAAGAGATGGAAAATTGTTACCTGAGGAATACCAAGGAGGATCTTTTAGGTAAAATTTAAATTCATTATTATCATTAGCATCTAACAGATAGATATAAGATGTATTAAATCCATTTCAGCATGTTTTATTTATTTATCTGAAGCATTTTTTAGGGTTAAGCTAACTGTCACATGCCTTATTTAACTAACAGAATATATGAAAATATTCTTCAGACTAGTAAGATTTTCATGTCAAAGCTATAGGAATGCCATTAGTGTTGAAATAAACATCTTTTTGAATGAACATTGACTAACATGGAATGACATGTGCATTCTTAAACTTTATTTAAAGTAAATTCATGAGCAGAGAAAGATGGAGAATGTTATGAGTACCAGAACCTTCCTTTATCCATTGTAATCATTACCCATTCCCCAACGCAAACCACTATCTGAAAATTATTAAGGTTTTGTGTTGCTGGTTTGGGTTTTTATGTAAATACTGTGAGATCTTTATTGTCATATTTATTTTTCTCATCACTAATGTCTGATTCACTGTTTATCTGTTGTTTTAGTGTATAGTTTTTGTTATGTAAATGTACTCATACTGATTCTACACTTGCATGCATTTCTGTTGTTTGCAGGTTGTTACTATTGTAATAGTGCTGTGGACATTCTTGCTAGTGCCTTATGATGAATAAATATACATATGTGTGTATATATATATATATATTTTTTTTTTCCTATACAGAGCTAAAAGTAGAATTTTTGGGTCAAAAGCTTTGATATATATTATAAAACTATTTTCTAGTTATATAATTTTATACTTGCATCAGCTGTACATGAGAATTCTCAGAGCTCCACATTCTTGCCAATATTTTAATGTTAGGTTTTAAATTTTAACAATTCTTGGAATGTGTATTTGTACTCTTCATGGTCAATGAAATGCAGATTTATAGGCAGGACACCATAACCTACACCCAGTATCTATAACTTAATGGAAGAAAGGTTTATTTGCTCACAGTTTAGAAATTTCAGGCCTTGCAGAGTCAGCAGCATGGTGGAGGGACCTGGGTGGAGGAGAGCTGCTCACTTGGTGGTGTCTAAGAAGCAGTATCCAAGAGAAGGAGCCAGGGGGGCAATGCATCCTTCCAGGTCGCACCTGCAGTGACCTGCCTCTTCTGACCAGGCCCCACCTCCCAACTCCAAGCCAGCTCTCCCCGCTCCTCACTCCTACCTGACCGTCCAGTCACTTTCCTTAAGCCCCCACCTCATGCATGAGGCTTTCAGGGGACATCCAGATACAGATCATAGCTAAATATATATGTTACTTCAGACACTTACGGATTTCTGTTGACTCTGACGGTGATGTGATATTTTTTAATGAAAGTTTTGAATTTTAACCAATTCCTATTTATCACTGTTTTTTTATAGTCAGTATGACATGTTTTCTATTAGATATTTTTGTCTATTCAAAGTCATGAGGTTATTTTTGTCTTCAGAAAACATAACATTTTAGATGCAGGTCACACTTGGGCTGAAGTTAGATTTTTATATGATGTAAAGTAGAAGGGCCCCTCTTGGATATTAACTACTTACTGAACAGATTTCACCTGAGCAGTATTGAGAAGAGACTGTATATGTCTGGGTCAGTTTCTGTGTTCTGTCTTCTTCCATTAGCCTCTTTGTCTCTCCTTTGTTCAGTTAACACCAAGCTGTTTTGATTCCTGGTAAGGAAATTATTCCAGCTTCATTCACTCAAGATACTATTTCTTGGCTCTTCACGCCCAAAATACCAAATAAAATTTACAATTAATATATGATTTCACATGCATGCATGTACGGACACACACACACACCACACACTATACCCCTTGCGGGGATTTTGATTGGATTTGCATGAAGTCATTTGACTGGTTTGAGGAAAATTCACTTTTCACAATATTGAGTCTTCCTGAGTCCTTTGATTTATTTTGGTTATGTTTTGTAGTTTTCTATGTAGAGGTCATATATTTTCATTAAATTTATTCCTTGGTATTTGTTTTTTTGTACCATTGTAAATGGTACTGTTTTTAAGTTTCATTGATAATTTAACAACTTCTACATAGCTAAACTTATATTGACCCTTTGTCCAGTGACTAAAGTTCACATATTAACCTTATTAGTTTATGTGTACAGTCTTAGATTGTCTACATACACAATCAGTTCATCTGTGAATAGTAGCAATTTTCCTTTTTCTAGTACTTAATACTTTGTTTCTTTTTCTTCACATCTCACTGCTTAGGACCTCCAGTTTAGTGCTGAATATTTGATAGCAGATGTATTTGTGTGTGTTGATACATACTCTTTTGTTTCAAATGACTTGGTAGAAGGTTTTATAGCACAGCAACCTTTTGAGTGAAGTGAAAGCACATGCTTCCAGGAAAGCATGCTCTGCTCACGGACATGCCGCCTTCAGACCTGTTTTTTCCCTCCAGCATTTCCAACTTGGGGATGTTCGGCATCGACGAATTCACTGCAGTGATCAACCCGCCTCAGGCCTGCATTTTGGCTGTGGGGAGATTCCGCCCTGTGCTGAGACTCACTGAGGACGAAGAGGGGAAGTCCAGACTGCAGCAGCACCAGCTTATTACAGTCACCATGTCAAGTGACAGCCGAGTGGTCGATGACGAACTGGCTACCAGGTTTCTTCAGAGTTTCAAAGCGAACCTAGAAAACCCTGTGCGCCTGGCTTAGTTCTCAGAGACGCGAAGTTAATTAAATAGTTGTTACCAAGAAACATACGATAGTAAGACAATTGAGTATTTAAATATGAAGTGGATGAAATGTTTATTTATTTAAAGTGAAAGCATTGACTCAAGTTGCCTTCATTTTAAGTTTGGGTTTATTGCTGTAGAAATAAATGATGATAAATTATAATTAATAAAACATTTCGTTAGATCCATTTTTAACCTCTGGTGCTGTACAAAAGGTTTATTAAACTAGATGAAAATCAAATTATATATTTGACTCACTGGAACGTTTTAGAATATTTGAGAATGTATTATAAAACCAAATCACTGATAGAACTCTACCTTGATTGCGTTAAAGGTAGAAGCGGTCCTCAAAAGATACACCTGTAAGTTAGTAAGACCTCTTTTTTATAAGCACTGCTCTAGGTATACTTGAACAACTTAATAATACAGAAGTTTATTCTGTAATAGTGATCAATATTGCATTGTATTGGAGGTTATAGCAACATTATTACCTTTTTATGTATATAAAGCCATATATGTTCTAGCCATATAAGTTTCTATCACTCTTATTTTTCACTTCTGTTAACACTGTGACTTCCAGAGAAAAATATAAGAAATAAAAATGAAGAAAGAGAGACCAAAAAAGTTGCTTGGTTTAATGAAAACCTACAGTTAAAATTCCAAAACCTTCAGAACTGACTTTCATGCTGAGTTGAAATACATTTAAGTTGTTACCCTAACATTTTTGAGTGTTAATTTTAAACACGAAATGTTGTTTAGGACATTTTAATCAAGTTTATATTGTGCAATAAAATGTGAGAAAATAACAATTTCTGTTTTACTTTAAATGTTGGCATATAGAAGTTTAGATGTTGAAGTACATTAATAATTTCTCTGAGACCTCTTGAAAGGACTTCTTCAGGAAGAAAGGAAGAGTTTAAAATTAATATGACAGTAGAAAACAAACTGATCAGCAATGTAGAACTTTGGAAAGAGTAGAAGACTTGTGAAGCAGAACACATGAGGACTATCCTTTTATTCCATCAATAATGTGAAAATTTTACTAATTACAATAAGTGTTAGAAGAGCCTCTTACTTTTTTGGCAACTCTGCCATACTGGTGCCATAACTATATTTAAATTGGATGGTAATGAATGGTAATTTAATTCACCAGTCACAGAAAGGCTTAAGTTAGAATCAGCTGACATAAATTACCAAATGAAAGACTTTGGTACAAGTTTTATTAGGTGTGATATGATGAACTGTAAGCCTTAACAAAAGAGCCTTCTAAAATAATTAGTGCAAATATATCAGTTGTTAAGAAAATGCTTTCTTCAGTTGCTCAGTTTTGTTTTTTGGGGTGGTTTTTTTTTTGGTCTTTTTTTCCTTTTTATCGGTACCAGGGATCGAACTCACGACTGCCTGCTTGCAAGGCAGGCGCTTAAATGCTGCTGAGCTAAATCCCCAGCCCCCAGCCACTCAGTTTTAATAAGCCATTTGTAACAATAGTTTTTGAAACTTTTGTCATATTAAGTTATATTTAAAGTTGAAGCCAAATGCAGTTTTCAATAAAGTTAAGATTTTCAAGGTCAGATTTCATTGAAATTATTTGGATTTTTTTTGTCTTGGCTCTGCGTTGTGTGCTCCACAGGCTGACAGCCGTGTGCAGTAGCGTATCCATTTCTCTACAGATGAACAGGCACAGATGCCCACTCCAGCCTGCTTGCACAGCTGTGCACTGCACAGGGCAAGGGCTGCACAGACCAAAGACATTTTCACCCTTCAGGGACAGCGCTACTGGACTTTCCGTAATAACCACCTGCTTCTTGGTTTGACTGCTCAGCTTTTGGTACAGATACTTGTTCATTTCAACTAACAATATTTTCTCTGGTATTTCTCTATTAATGATTAGGTTTGTGTAAGGAAATTATTTCTCTAAAAATAATGGTATTGGACTGGCAGTTCAGCTCACTGGGCAGTGGTTGCCTGGCCAATACAAGGTCCTGAGTTTTGAGTCCTGGTACCAAAAACAGTACTGCAGAAGAAGTCAAAAGAATAACACTGATAAGAGGAAGGAATGTGGTCTACTTGATCTGAACTGTGTGTGCGGCAGATGCCTCCCCCATTATTTACTCATCTATGATAGGCAGGTATCTTGAGATGCTAGAGAAATGGAAGTTTTTGTACCTGGTCATCTTTTTTCCCTATTTAAATAGGGAAAGTGTACAAGTGTATAAAGCCTTTGAAAGAAAAAGGTGCATACATCCCAGTTAAGATTTGGGGATGAAAATGTCAATGAATGGTAGGATTTTAAAGTCAGAATGGTCCTGTTTGTCCCTGGTTGGAATTTTATCGTTTACAAGTATTGTGTTCATGTTGACTGTGTGTACTGGATTGAAACCATCTACTGCTTGCCAGAGTCTTGGTTGAAACCCTAAAAAATTTAAAGATTCTTAATGTATTGTCAAATGGAGCTTCTGCTTTTACAATATTCCCCCTCCCTCCCTTTTTTTTGTTCAGTTTTGGACTTAATTTCAACTACATGGTATAGAGCTGCCACATGGGCATTATGTGAAAAGCAAACACGGTTCTCTAACCTCCCATTGAAAGATAGGTGGTGCTGTGAGTTAATGCAAGGAGAATGTGGGGGAAAAATAAAATGCCATTGAAATCTTAGTCTTCAAAGAAAATGTGTGCATACTTCACATTGCATCATGATGCCCTCAAGTACAGTGAAGAAAGGAAAAACACAGTGTGGTGCAGATAAGCATTAGCCATTAATTTAAGCATGATGTTATTAATAGGAAAGGTTTTGGATTTTTCAGGAGAGAAGGAACCACGTGCAGAATTAATTTTTTAAAGATTAGCCCAACCATAATATACAAGTTAGGTTAAAACAGAGATGACGCCAGTCAGCAGAAAATAGTGGAAGTGTTTCCCATGATAAAAGCTTAACTTGATCACAGCTGCAGGAGGTCACTGTCCTTAAAGAAGGGAGAAGACCAGGAATGTTCTTGATAGGCTGCGGTGTGTTATGAATATATGGGCAGGTGGGTCCCATCACACAGAGCAGTAACTGACATCATTTCCCTTCCAAAATACAGGGAAAATACAAAGTAATTGGCTCACATGCACCAATACCCAAAGGGGATAAAGATTCTGAAGATTCTCGTGAGCTGCATACAGCAAATGGTATATTTTAGGAGACATTTGAATTACTATTTAAGTGGAAAAATAGTCTTTTAATAATAAAGCAATTTTTAAATAGTTTATGATTTTTAAAATTTTTTTCTAGTGCTTTCATTGGTTTCAAGAAAGATAGGTTGGGTTGGGGCAAAGTATAGTTAACCTAGATTGGTGATTCTGAAAACAATGTTTAATTGATATTTTAAGGTGATGTATAGATGTAATACTTTGAAAATGAGCATTAGGCTTTCTTACTAGCAGTCTTGTTTCTTTAATCAAATAAGTTGTTTTCACATTTGTATCACCTCCTTCTAGTCCATGCAGCTTTTTTCTTCTTGAGAAAATAGCTTAAACCTCTTAATTGAAAGCCTTTTGTGGATGATACATACAAGTTAAAAAGTGTGAGCTTCTATTAAATATTGAGAATTACTAGCAAGATGATTAGTCATGAGTTGCCTTTTCTTAAAATGATGTGGGGTGTTTCTGTTTTTGGTACTGGGGATCAAACTCATGATCTCCAGCTCGCCAGACAGGTGCTTATGCTGCTGAGCTAACCCCCAGCCTTTAAAGATGATGTATTGTAATTGTAAAACTACCTTAGTTTATGAAATTCTTTATTCTCTCACTAGAAGAGAGGTCTTTTTAAAAAAATATTACTGTTGTGAACAAATGATATAGCATTAGACATAGCACTTTATAAAGCATAAAATAAACAAGATGTTAAAATTTTAATTGCCTAAATCCGTATTATTTTATATTGGTAGCTCAGCATGAGTCTGTTTGATAAGGAATAGTATTTCTCAGGAAGTCATAGGATGGAACTTAATAAATTATCCTTCTCAGTAGAACTGCTTACTATCATGAGTGCCTACTTGTAAGTATGCACACAAAGTTTTTTACTTACTATCAAATTATTTTAACCCTGCTTCCACTTTATAAATTATACTACTATTGGCAAAAGGCTTACTTCTGTGCTTCAGTGTTCTTATGAAGAAACAAAAGGAAAAATTAATCATTGTAGTGGTTAACTTAATTGTCTATATGGGAGGTGTATTGTGCTTTGCACTGATAGAGTCCTGATATTATGCCTGCAGACTCAGATATTGCATAAATTGACCAAAGCTGAGAAGAGCCACTACTAGGATTTAAGTGTAGGTCTGTGTGGTTCAAAAGTTCAAGCTCGCAGTGTTGTAATGCGTAGTTTACTCGGTTGTGTTAACTGCAGTTAAGACAGTCAACAGAAGGACCTATTGCTCAGCAATACTAATGATGTGTTTTCTACACAACCACTTTTAATTCACACTTTCTTTGCAATGGTTATGTACTCTGCTGGTAAACATGCAAAAAGCACTAGGGGATTTTTTTTTTTTTCTTGTTTTCATATGGACAGCTCTCTCTGCTAAAGTTAAGTGTTAATGACTACTACTTCTGAACAGAAGGCTTAGAGAAATACACACACCTCTAAAAAGGTTTAGTGCTTCTAGGGATAAGTATATAAAACATTTTACTTTTACTCAATACCTCTGAAACTGGTTCAAGTTCTGAACCAAAAATAGTTGCTTTAGTTTAGTTTTTTTTTTTTTTCTTCACAGATTCCAGGTGTCTGTATTAACAAAAGTATCCATTGGCAGAGGACAGCCAGTAGATGAGGGTGGAGAATCTAATTGGATTATCCAGGCCACAGATTAGCCTCACTGATGGACTGGCACCCTGATGGAGCTAGGGTACCATTTAGAGTGGAAGCCTGGAGCAGATGAAATCTGTATGGCCATGTGATTGTCATCAGGCCAAGCTGGAACTGCCATTCAAGGCTCCAGCAAAGCAGATCATCACTGAGCATCGTGTACCTGCTGCCCAGCCTTGCAGAGCTAGAACTGGCATTCTCCCACCTGGAGTGTCTTCACCAAGGAAACTTAACAGCAGGATTGCTTAAAGGAGCCACGCATACAGGAACTGTATCTGTTATTATAGAGCAGGTGTTGAAAGGTAAATTTGAGGCTGACAGTAAATAACTGTCACGAGCTCAGTCAGAAAGATTAGAAAGTAAAACAATCTCATAGTTGGAAGAAGACCCAATGCTAAGACAGTTTAGGAAAGGGTGGTGGGTAAAGACCTATCTAGACTTTCGGTATTGTTTTGAAAATGCTGTCATTTTATTTCAAATAAATACCCGAGTTGCCGGATAAGGCAGTTATTAAATGAGCAACAAGTGTAAAGTGTTGAAGTACATTATTCACACAACAGTTTCAATCATACGTCGTACACAGCTAACCGTCCTTGCCTGTAGTGTACTTAAACTATTGATAAGTGGTATCTGTGTGCCTGCTTACATTCAACAAGTTCTGCAGTTAGAGCTTATGTATAATTGGAAGACTTCATAGAGAAGATGACATTTGAACCAAGTTTTGACATTAGTGGTTATAAGCAATTTCCCTTTTTTCCTTTTTTATGTCTCTTTGATTTGTGAGCAAATGTGTCTTGATTTAGCACCCAAAAATTCAGTAGTTCATTCCCCAAGACCTGGTCACAGTAGCTCTGTATGTAACAATAGTAACTGTAAGTCTAACAAAACTTAGAAAGTTTTAGTTGGGAGGCACAAGTGCCTAGAGAAACCTTTATGACCTACTATTTAAAAAGGAAATATCCTTTGCCATAGCTCCTGGTCCAAAAGAAGTTAAACTTATTTAGGAATGAGCACTCTTTGTTTAATCAAAATGTATTTTAATTTCTTCACTCCCAAACCTCTTCTCCAGCTCCCGTTTTTTTTTTTTTTTTTTAAATTCCTGGAGGTGTCTTGTGTGTGCAAATACATTTTTAGGAATCTTCACACTGATGGTTTTGTTCCCAAGGGACCATCTATAACTTTATTTTCAGAGAATCACAGTTAATCTTTGGGATCTTCAGCTACTGAGCAAAACTGTAGGAGCAAGTGAAAAGTCAGATTTTTAGCATTCAGTATCTTTAATGCAAAATGTTAGAGTAGTATGTTACTTAAATTAATTAGTTCAGAATGAATGTGGTGTGGAGGCCAAGTTTACTCAGTGGTAGGACCAGGTAGCTCATTACGTATTATACAGCTCCTGTCAGGTGCGGTGGCACATGCCTGTAACCCCAGCACTCAAGAGGCTGAGACAGTATTGCTGTGATTTGAGGCCAGCCTGAATTACATATTATACATATTGATAAATAAATATATCATACAGTTCCCATAGTTCACCAACTTTTATTACTAAGTGAATTATGTCATTTGTGGGCATTTTATTTTGACACCAAATTATTGATAAAGTAATAATGTATTTTGCTTGTTAAGTAAGTGCTAATCAGAATATTATGATGAGTTCCAGGTATTATTTTTATGCTTTTAATGGCTCACTTCAGCTTAAGAATAAAATGGATGGATGACAGT